TAGTGCCATTTTTTCGTTTGGGTTTCTTTTATAACATTTTTTCTAGTGGGGGGGGGGGGGTACGTGACATTTTTACATTTTTCAATTTTTTCGTGTTGTAGGTCATAGCCTTGTATATATATCTACTCAGAAGATCATACTGTACTCTCTGATATAGAGGACCAGTAGTTGCTTTTTTTTTTATCTTTGTACTTTACAGTTTTTTTATTTTTAATTTTAAACCAAATCAAGTTTTAAGGACAAAACCACGTATATTTTTTCCTATCATCATGTTTTAAACTTAGAATTTACCGGAAAGCAGTAAATACAAAATTTACAAAATTGTGTTGTAAATAAAATTTTATATTTACTGCCACCCGGCAAAGAAGATGGGCGAACCAGCCAAGAAGAAAGCCAAGGATTTTTCTTTACAAGTGGGTCTTCGCTCCATATTTTTTTTTAAATACACAAACTCCGTGTCTTTCCGAGAAATATTTGAAGTCCAAAGGTTGTTATGAGTTGTGTGGAATAGCGTGTCGAGGAATAAAGGAAGAAAAAAGTGTGTAAGGTTCAACGGAAAAGAACTCTTACTTCGGATTTTTAACGCTTGGGCCCAATCCTAAAAAAAAAAAAAAATTTTTTACCATGGAATAATTTTTTTCTGGGAGAGTTTTTCCAGAGAAGTTTTATATGTCATAATTTCATGCCGTTCAGTAATTAATAATTTAGAACGTTACTCTAAATAATTTAGTTCACTATTTATACATTTGAAGCTATATATTCATTTTGCACGCCTTGTTTGACTGTCTGACACACGACAGTATCATATATAGACAATCGACGACGCTTATGGTTTCTCATGAGAAGGAGGAATGGGAGGCTGGGTTTTGACAGAAGATAAAGTAAGATTAAGTAAACCGAGATTATCAAATCCATTGGTGTGTTGATCATTGTAGCATTTCCTGAATTAAAAAGAAAACCACTTATCTTTTTTTATATACAAAAATCGTCCATACTACATGTTTTAATAGTACTCCCGCTTGAAACGTGTGTGTGTGTGGGGGGGGGGGGGAGGGGTCATATGGTGATGGGGGTGTACGTCCGTACTTCCTTCCGTGTGTACGTCCGTATCACTTGGGGTAGCCATCCCTTATCCGCAACTCCTCTTACACCAATGAATGTAATTTACTGAAACTTTCACCAAATCTTTATTACACATGGGCATTGTACGTTTCCGTCGGACAGATATTTGGTGTTTGCCATAGCAAAAGATGGACACTGCCATTCTTTCTGTAATATTCGGGGTACCTATCTCATCTCTTATCCGTAACTCCTCCTGTGTCGCTGAATAAAGTTTAACGAGACTTTCACAGAATGCCATTTTGCATCTCCTATTTTACATATTTCCATCGGTCAGCTTTTGGGGGTTTTCCAAAGCAATACAAGGATACTGACATTCTTCCTGTAATACTGGGGGTACCCATCCGCAACTCCTCCTACACCACTGAATAAAATTCATTGAGACTTCATAGAATCTTTACAAAGTGTCCTTGTGCATCTTCTATTTCATGTTTTGATTGGACAGATTTTGGGGATAGCCATAGAAAAACTTGGACTTTGTCATTATACTCATGTGGAAGCGGGGGTATCGTCTTGTGAGCTCTGTGCTCACGGTGCCTCTAGTTTGATAAGAACAGGATTCGTGGTTCATCGACTCAACACGAAGGACACGTGCTAAATTGTAAATTTAATACAAAATTTAAAACATAAAAACTTATTTAGTTTTATTTTACTCCAATACATGTATAATAAATTCAGAATTTAGAACATAGCAGACACGTGAGGAAATATCCATTTTTAGAAGTCACGGGCTAAGCGATTTGATTTTGCAATATATGTGTGCAAGGCCGTAGATGTGATCGCATTCCCCTCAAAATATACATTATTGTAATAAAGAATAATTCGGAAACAAGTGATCCATTTCTGAAACTAAGTAAAATTCATTGTTCATTTGTTTAAGGTAGTGCTTTTAGAACTTCGTATATTAAATGAATTATTAAGTACCTGAGTATGTGTAAAATGAATTCAAGAAAGCACCAAAACCCACCAAAATAGTATCCATTTACACACATATACATGTATATAACAAATCTGGCTTAGGGAGGGGGTACATAACCCGGACCCTTCCTTCGACCCCCCCCCCCTTTGCGGAAACCTGGTGTGTAACATTGTATTAATCTTTTCAATATTCTATAGATGCACCATAGTATACAATTTTTGTCGTATGTGATGGTCCTTACTGAAGGTGTCTGTCACAGGGAAAGAGAAGGAGGAAGAGCAATCAGCAAAGTTTCCATATATCTATAAATCAACAAATACGTTGATTTATGAATATATAGCTTACATGTATGTTTTTAATTTGCTCCACAATAATTCATTTATTTGATTAGACATATATGAAGATAATTATGACAATTTATCAGATTCTACCTTTCACATGTCACACCTTGCGCAACGTTTTATTCAGGGACTCATGTACCAGAGAGTCCATGTGATTTTTGTGTGTGTGTGTTTTTTTTAACAAACAAGTTTAAAAGGATCAACGATTGCAAATTATTGACCAATCATGATTGTGTCTTCTTTGGATCAAATATGCGCAGGTCCTTGATTAATCTATTGACCTACAACAAGTGCAGTTGAGGATACCTGTACCTACTGAACTCTTTAAGTCATGTGGGATGTGAAAATAAAATATAAACAGACTTATCTCCTACCGGTAACCGGGTATCCCCGGTTGTTACACTGTAGACCTATTGCCAAGTAGGTATAGCTATATAGATAACTGTCAGCGAGGCAGGTCAGATCGCCATAAGAAATAATTAAAGCGAAATGTTCGTTAGGCTAGATGTGTTTTCAGAAAATTATCAAATTACGAATTTCTGGCGTGTTCCATTATAATAAATCTTTCTACCTTCATCTCCGAGCTAAAATTTATCCTTAATATTTGAGAAAAGTGGGAAATGAAAAAATGTCAAAACTTTGATCAAGAAAAAGCAGAATAGAAATATAAGAAAGCAAAATGATCACCGGTGTTGTCAGTTCTTGCTCTGTGATAAATGTAGTGATTGCAAATCGAACACACCCGGGAAAACGTAACAATATTGGAGCTTCTGTTTATGCTCACAAATACAGATTACGAAGAATGATGTCATTTTCATGTAAGCTGTAATCATTAAACTGGAGGTATTTTCAAAATAAATTCAAAATTGTAACACACACACACCATTGCAAGTGCATCTATATATGCCCCTTTAAATGATGAAAAATATACTACTTTGATTTAATTAAAACATCCTAAGGTGTTATGAAACATAAATGACATTTGACCTCAAAACATGTCATTAACTCTGACAAAAAATGTTTGATATCCTAAAATATGAAATTTTTCATGCAGTTTAATAGATAGGATTTATGAATAAGATTGCAGTTATAAACACACTGTAACTATGTCTCTTTTAATTGGGGAGGAGGGAGGGGAGGGTAATAGGAAGGGTCAATTTTTTCAAATAAATCCAAAGCAAATGCCATTTTTCAGTCTATGTTTTATAAAATATAGTCCATAATTCTTCCCAAGAAATAATTCCTGGATCTGCCCTTGAAGTCCAAATCTATGATCCTGTAAGATAAAGTGGACACTGCTCTAGATTGGCTTCATATGAACAACACCAAAGATCTACTTTGTGAAATTTTATCTTCAAGAAAAAGATATCACAGTCAACAGAATTTACAAAAATAAAAAATATATCATACTGAACAACCTTCAAAACAACAATATATAAATCTTATCAAATATATATAATTATGGAATATTTGGACGGGACTGATAATACTAGTGTACAAAAGTGTCACTTTAAAATTGTCTTCTCTCTCTCTATTTGGTTCTATTTGGTTTACTTTTACCAAAACCAAATTTACTGACAATACTAATCAGTACTATATATTTAATATTAAAAAAAAAAAAGACAATAAAAAAAAAAACAAAAACAGGTATCATTGTTCATGTGTTTGCAAACTGAAACAATGAGAATTCCAGAAAATAGTTTATCTGTAAGCATCAAAAAGTATTTGCATGAAACAGAACTGAGACAATGTGGGTAATTTTTCATCCAAAAATGTAAAACTATTGGTATTATCATTGCAAACTTTCAACAAAAAAACCCCACATATCACAGCATTTCTCCACTCCCTGTCTGAAAAACAATGCTGAGAGGTAATGTCCTATTGCAGAAAAGCTGATGATACATCATTTATATGTATCATCATATACAAGGAGAAAAATGCAAATAAAAAGCTTAAATCTGTCATTCCAAACCGCTTATATTGTATATACAAATATTCTATTATATATAATAGAAATATTCAAAAAGTTTGATACCAGAACAAAATTTATCATGAGAAAGTGAATTAAAATTATTGTGCATCAAAAACTGTTTTTTTCCCCAAAGAGTAAAGGAGGGCAGTTGATGAGTACAGATTGTCTAAGGGTAATTTAAGGAAATTAAGAGAAAACTCAAACATCACATGGATTAGGTCTACAATTCACACAAAGAACTGAGATTTTGCTATTCAAACTGAGTAACTAAATAGTGTATTCAATTATTTTTCCATTCAGAATATTGCTTTAAATTTTCATAAACAATTATTAATTTGTAAATGCTCCCAAAAGACTTAAGGCAAAAACTGAAATTAAAAAATACTGCAGATCAAGTTGTCAATTGATTTCAAATTTCACTCAATAAAAACATCTATCAAATTCACATAAACACAGAACACATAATCTTTGTTCATGTATTCAACAGTTTCCATGGCAGCATGAGATTATGACAGAATTCTGCATATCTGGAGAGTTTATATTTCTAATGTGATGTCAAATGAATCATCTTTATTCCTCTTCATAGACTTGGGTTTGGGGATGGAGGGAGGTTCCTGTATTGGGGACCATTTCAGCATTTGATAATCACTGGGGCCGCCTCGATCAATCTCTTTTATTTTTGTTTTCTCATGTCTTAACCTGCAAAAAATGAAATAGAAACTAAAATTGCTTCATTGAAAAGCTTGCAAAATACTTAGAAGTTGATTCATTGCAAAGTTAACATTTCAAAAGTGAAGCTTAATGAGACACTTCTGATGGATAAAAATGTTTACAAACAGTCTGACTATACTAACAGTCTGATTTCATAATCCTAAGATGTAATACAGCTGATATAATGTAACACATTTGCTATAATATAACACAACTGATAGAACATCACACAACTGATTGTAATGTAACACAGCTGACATAATGCTACACAGCTGATATAATGTTACATAGCTGGTGTAACATCACACAGTTGATATTATGTATCACAGCTGATACAATGTAAAAATAGCTAATATAATGTAACACAGCTGATATAACATCACATAACTGATATAACACCAACTGATATAATGTTACACAGTTGATGTAACGTCACACAACTGATATAATATCACACAGCTGAAATAATGTAACACAGCTGATATAACATCACATAGCTGATATGACGTAACACAGCTGATATGTTGTCACACAGTTGATATAATGTAACACAGCTGATATAATGTAACACAGCTGATATAACATAACACAACCGATATAACATCACACAACTGATATAACATCAAACAGCTGAAATAATGTAACACATCTGCTATAATGTAACACATCTGCTATAACATAACACAACTGATATAACATCACACAGCTGATATTTACCATTTTCCTTTGTAGGCTTTTGCTTGTTCCTCTGTGAGAGATTCATCTTTCAGGATGCTTTGGAGTTTGTGAAGTTCTTTAGCAATTGTGTCATCATCAATGTAAAACTGCTCTTTCTTAAATGTGAACTGGGGAGTCTTCAAATGACCCTGTATACAGAAAATATAAACTTACACTATAAATATATGATTAAAGAAAGTGTATAATTTACTAATATACAAGCTATACTTTGATTGTGGAAAAGATTTGCCTTATTTAATCCGAGGTTTAAGACTTTTACTGCATTTACCAATATGCCATATGAAAACTGCAAAAAATTTCTTAAAATATACAGAATTATTTCTATTAGTCATACATTTTCTCCTTCATGGATAATCTGTTGAGTATTCTTTTTCTCTTCAATCACTGGGTGAGACGGAAGACTCATAGGGTCAATGAGCACATCGTATGGAACCATTGGATGGCGGTACGTTGAAGGTTTATAAATATCCCAGGGGTCAGGCTGACCAAATGTGCCTAGTCAAAAACAGACAGATTGGTATGAAAAAACAGGTTGACCAAATCTGCGTAGTCAAAAGCAGACATTTGTTAGTAAGTTTTCTTTCTTCTTTTAAGTTCTATACAATTTAGTTAATAAATACATTACTCCTTAATTGTTTTAGTAAGTAGTCTTACCAATGTAGTCCCCGTCAAAGTTCCAGAGTCGTACCGTACAGTCTGTGGAAGCCGTCATCAGAAGTTTATGTTTTTCCATCAGCTCCATACAAGTTATACTGTCTATATGACCACGCCAACTGTGAATCACTACAAGAGAAATTTAACTTCAATAAGGTGGCAGTTTTAAGGTATCTTATCCCCTAATTTTGAATGCAAATACATGTATATCTTATAAAGTGTGAAATTTTGAGTATAGAAATCACAAAATTAAAGAGGAAAAAGACCACTAACAGAAACAAATGTCAGCTACATTGTAATTTTTAAGATTTACAAGAGTTATTAAATTAGATGAAATTTTAACAGATAGCCAGTGGTTTGATTTTACATACATTCTGGAGGATCATCCTCAGATGCCATCAAACAATAACCAGAGATATCGAACAGGAAGAGGAAACCGTAGCTGTCTCCTACAATTAGCATGATTTCATCTTCATTTCCATCCGATGTGTCGGTGATTGCCATTGTGCTGATCATAGCGCCCTTAGTCGTGGACTGTAAAGAAGATTTACTGAGGAATACTCAATCATTCAAGAATTCTCCATGGGAAAGACTTATGAACAGATCAGAAAACTTTTTAAAATTGAAATTACTTAAAGTAAAAACTAAAATAAATGGTGCCTCTACTAACATGAACAATATTTTATTTTTATATGTAGATAAAATTAATTTTCATACACACTTTACTTATTTCCCCTATATCTTACTTAATAGACTAGATTTATGTTTTTGATAGCAGTTGTACTTACTCCTGGGAACTGTGCCATGAGGGTTCCCCCCTGGAAGACATTCCAGAAGTGGATGTGAGCACGAGGTCCACTGGCAATGAGAGAGGCAGCATCCTTATTGTAAGCTCGGCTCTGTATAAACAGCAGCTTATTGATACTCAGGTCCCCATCCACTGTAGGATTATATGCACCAACATAAAATTGAAGGACAATCATAAAAGGCAAAAATGCATATGAATGCATAAAAAGTACCTATTTTGAAAATATTAATAAAAATTCTTCATAAAAAAAAGTATTAAAATTAATCTATTTAAACCAATTGCTTTTGTGTTGATCTTCTTATAACTTTAACACAATGTATCCCAAAGTTAAGTAATTATTTTTTGATGATGAGGCTTATATGACTAGTTAATACCCTGTAGTTAAGTAATTATTTCTTGATGATGAGGCTTACATGACTGATCCTCGTAATTACTGGGTACTGGGGCTGATAGATGACAGAAGATGTGACCAGATACCATGTTCCACACAATGATTTCACCGTCGTATCCAGAGGTTGCCAGCAGATTGGGGGGACACTGAGCCACTGACAAGATATCTTCCTTATGGCCATCTTTCTGCAGAAACAAACCATAAATTCTAATATTCTTTTTTGCTTAAATGTTCATACACTCTACTAAAAGAGTCTTCATATGGATAAAATATTAACAAGATGTGTTTGTGAAACACCAACGCCCCCATATGGCAGCTTTTGACCAAGGTTTGTTTTTCAAAAGTAGGTCAAACTGCAAGGTCAAGATCATGAAGTCAAAAATGTTGGTACCCAAAGAAAGGTCACAAGGAATACACATGTAATTTATTATCAAATCAGTGGAATCATTAGATTTTGTGGTGGCTCAATTTTCATGGAAGTCGTGGGTACCTCTCATCCACGAATTAACATCCTCCACAAATTAATAAACTATGGTTACAAAGTCATATTTCCCTTTGTAGGTGTAAGAGAATACACAAATTACATCCCCATGAACCTTTTGAATTTATGCAATCCATGAAAATTGGTCCCCACGAATTTTAATGACTGCACAGTATGAAAGCCCTAGCACTAACCATTTAAAATTCATGGCCTAGTTGAAAGTTTTTGCAGAAAACAGAGAGAGAGAGACAAAAGACGGAGCGCCCAAAAACTACATTGTTTATGCCCCCTAATCTCCGGGCATAAAAAGCTAATTCCACTTACTAAATCATCAGACCAGTTTGGATTGGGATGTTGTACATGATGGATGTTGACATCAGTGACTGAATCAGAGTAAATGTTTATTCTTTTGTCCCAGCCAACAGACACTACATATCTAAAACAAAGCACAGAACAAAAATGATAGGTATGTAGAATTTCACATATTAATTAAATGGATTTTCTTTTGATATCTGATACCCACCTGTTTCTATTCATCTCTACATAGGTGATGTCACAAATCTCATCATTATCTTCCTCTGTAAACAAGTATTATTTAAATAAGCAACCAATAAAAAGTAATATCTTGGATAAAATTTTCAATATTTCTTTTCTAAAGGTGAACATCCAAACTGTCCATTTTGGAGATGATTAATCCTCTAAGTGAGTATATATATATATATATATATATATATATATATATAAATTATCTTTTGCTTCATTAATCTATAACAATAGTTGCTTACCTTTTTTGAGGACCTTCAGACAATGCCCATTGTTATAGTTCCAGATTTTGAGGATCCCATCCCTACCTCCCGTAATTAACCTGCAAGGAAAATTTGTTCAGCTGTTAAATAAATACAAAACTTTCCATGCACATTGTCATAAACAATTTTGAAGTCCATTAAAGAATATACATGTATGTGCAACATTTAAGATTATTTCACAGTGTATGTATTCTCAAGCTTACCTTCTTCCTGTGTTGTCAAAGGTCATACAAGTAATGGCTGAATCTCCGTGGGCATCCCCATATTCAAAAATGGGGGTTCCTGTCTCCAGGTCCCACAGCTTGATTACCTGTTAAACAGACAAACATACAGACCATGTCAGTTTTCAACATTGTTTAAAAATACATGTACACGTAATGAATGTCTTATGGAACTCTAATTCTGGCTCTACAAAAATGGGCTTCTTCCTAATCGTTAAAATAAAGAACTGTAGATTCCTAAACATCTGCAAGGAATTTATTATCACATAATTTCACAAGAAGCATCGCTTGCAAATAAAATTTCTCCCTAAATTTTATATCACTGAATGCATATAAAAACACCTGATTAACAGTTCACTCAGGAATTCATTTTGTTGCAATTTGACATTGAGAAGTCATTTTGCCATATTAAAAACTAGTGTAAAATAAAGAATCTATAGTAGATCATTGTTAAGTGAATACTTACTGAGCTCTCTGAGCAAGTGATGACTTGTTTAAAACTAGGATTGAATCGTACACACGTCACCGGTTCTTTGTGAGTGATTGTTATGTCTGCATGCTTTGTTGGTCTACAAAAAAGTTATCATTTAATTTAATTTCTAAGTACAATTTTAACTGAATAATCAACATTTAAACTTCTTGAGAAGTAGCAATTTTATGAATACATGAACATCAAAATCAATATGACTGACTGACTAATATTGACATGCAAAGAAGGCCACAACTTGTCATTAGATGAAATTATAATCATGATAATTTAGGTTAGGCTACTAAATAAAAATACATATATTGAGTATTCTGACATTTGTATCAAATTGAGTTTAATCAGTAAAATGTGTCTGTAAATGCCTCATCAAATCTTCTCCATGATACATAATCTTTACTTAGTGCAAGCTCTATTCAACTGAATGTCTGTACTTCATTCTATTACCTCTTTGCTAAATTACATTTTTTAAAAACACCAAAGGCTTGCAGAAAAAGACATTTACCACAAGCATCAGAAAACATTGACAAAGTTAAAATACTGCAACTGAAAACAAACAAAAAGAAACAATAGAAAACAAAACAAAAATATGACACACTGCTAACACTCAGAGACAGCTAGAAAAGACAGGTTTCTGTGGCTTGAAGCTTAAGAAACATAAATGTATGTGCTAACACAATGTCAAAGCTACACAACTGGACAGGAGAAAAAATAATGGGAGGGGGTTAGTGGAGCTTGAAAGAATAAATTTTCTATATTAATCTTCAGAAGTCTTATATCAATATCATCTACTATTTATTTAAAAGCTCCATTTCACTGTTGTTAATAAAGAGTTTATGCACTTGACATTAAAAGAAAAGTGATGCTAAAAAAGGGGAGGTAAATCTGTGCAGTGTTGGTCTCGGCAGAGTAGCTGGCCTTACCTGCAGAGATTTGCATCCAGTCTTATATAAAACAGACAACATTGTTACTGTCATAACAAACTCAAAACACAGCCTAGAAGATCTACTCAGAGTGTTCTATGTCATTATATGTATACATGTTTCCATTCCACCACACTAATTTTTTATCAGATTAATATAAGTTGACTAATTCAACCCTCAGTAAGTTTGACAAAATGATAAACTCATATCATAGTACATTGTATCAGAATATCAAGGTACGTTTGATATATAAGAGTATATATTTATAAATTGTCTAATTGTCAGTTGGTAAATTAAAAGAGCAACTTGTTAATACAGGTCAAACTTGATTTGCATATCACTGTAACAGTAAGGAGATACATTCTATATATCTCAACATACACTCAGGAAAACAGTTTACTACTGACTGGGTAGACAGAAAGTCATTAAATTATATGTACATGTATAATCGTTTCTATGTCAACCAGGTTTGAAAGTCTGTCATTAACACAGCAGCTTCTGAATCTAGCCACCGTTTACCCACAAACAACTCAGGACAAATCCACATACAAATTACTTACTAACCTACGATTTCTGAAATAAGGAACACTCAAAAATACAATACTTTGGTAATTATTGTAACTTGCATCATTAAATACATTAAGATAGAGCAAATGAAGTCATATGATTTCATGAATTAAAGATATATAAAAATAACTATTTGCAGGAAAATACACTTGTTATAGAAAAATCTACACATCATAGGTAACCATTCTTTAGATTTTCCTGAGCATTTCAGTAAAGAAGAGCTTTTTTTTTCAAATTGCCTTACTTTTGTTTGAGATTGAGAATGGCCATTTGATCTGTTGCTATGGCCATACTCTTGGCAGCACTGGAATAATGGCAGGCTTGGAGATCTCCACGGATTTTGTGACCTTTCGGTCGAACAGTCAGTAGACAATTATGATCTAAAATGTCCCACACCTGGCAAACACATGGAAAAGCAATGAAATTGCAGCAAGTTTGGTAATTAAAATCAAAAATATGGCTTTCTTTTATATGCAATCTATCAATCTTCATAAAAAAATAACAATAAATGGTGATTGTCATATTTGAATAAGATAAAATATCTGAGTCACTAGAAAATCACAGTGTAAGTAATTTCTCTATGTTGATTATCTATTGCTATTGATGAAATGTTTGACATCATGATGATAATGTCTGACCTTGATACATTTGTCTGTAGATAAACTGAACACACGATTCTCTTCATTGGCTATAAACAGGTAAAATATGGGAGCATTATGTCCCCGTAGCATGGCAGTGGGTTTACTAAAAAAAAAAAACATCCAAAGAACAATTACACTTTAGAAAATGTTGCATTTAAATGAAAAGAGTCCCTTTATAGCAGGTATTGCAAATTGTAATTAAGTTTCATTACTGTCACACTAGAATATCTTACTCTGAGACATAAGGATTCCACAGTCGGACTATTCTATCCATGCCTCCTGTTACAATGATGTTTTTATCTTTAGAGAAGTCAAAACACTTGACTCCCTTGTAAACGTAGAACACTTTCTGGTCCGCGTCCAATCTCAGCTTGGCGTTGGTCTTCTTTGCTTTCTCTGTGTAAGAGTTACCTCCCTGGTCCACTCTGGTGCTCCCACTGGTACAACCTATGTATGCAAAATCTCAAATTTAGTAGCATAACTCTGACATTACCTTTACATGACAACAAGGTCAATATTTTTTCCATAGCATGAACATAGCATACATCTGCATCACTGTAGTATGACCTGAATATGAATCAATCAACATCAACTTTATTTTTAGATCTTTTATGTAATAATGTTTAATTTATTCATAAATCTGTAACACAGTCAATTAAAGTAATTACATGTATCTTTACAATCTTCATACCAAAATGTTCTGTCTACAGGTTTGACAAAGCAAGAAACCAAAAAGATCAAAAATCAGGAGAGAGCATAAACGTCATGTAAAAACTTAGCCTACAGCCTGGTCCTCGATCTATAACTACATGTATGATTTCGTACTACTATGTACCATAATTAAGAAAGTTGACTAATTCAAACCTACAATAAAGATTGTGTTTACTTATCAAGATCATAGATTAAGATAGTTTACTATCCATACATAGATTAAAAGATTTTACTATCCATACCTTAGATTAAGAGAGTTTACTTATCCATACCTTAGATAAGAGAGTTTACTATACATACCTATGGCTAAATTACTTATCCTTACCTGGGATAGTTACTAAGATAGTTTACTATTCCATATATACAATATGGATAGTTTTAATCCATACCTATAACTAATGCTGTTTCCTGGTGATTAGAACAGGATATAACTTGACCTATTTCGTGGTAATACTTCAACTGAAATAAAATAAAACAAACTGGAGACTCCAAACTGTAGAAGCAATTCTAAATACTTAACATTTAATTCATATGAACACACATTTAAAATTACCATTATTAATTCAATATAACCACTGACATTAAGTGGGTAATATCATTCACCCTTTTCTCAAACTCAAAAATAGAGTTGATTACCTTTTTTCCAAGCTCAAAAAGATTTGTATTGCAAGGAAAATTCACTTTAGTGAGAGAAAAAAAAAAAAACATAATAAAGATTAAAATTTCTGGGAGATGAAACTTTTCCTGACCTGCTGTACCCAGTCTCCATGAACTTTCCATCGGATAAACTGGATCTTGGATTTAGAGATGGCATCCGACAGACTGATCTCAGCTATAAAGCCCTCCTTACTGGGCAGTTTATTCCAAGTCCTGTAACAATCAAATATAAAATATATCCGGATACACGAGGGTTTGTAATGTTATAAAAAAAAACTAATTTTTTAAGTCTACTAGTCATTGAATGCTTTAAATGCTACAGAAACATTCTGAATTATAGTTGAATGCTTTGAATATTACAGAGATCAGTATTTTGTAGTAAAGTTGAATGTTACAGAAACGAGTACATGTATATTGTAATATACATGTAGCTGAATATAACAGAAACCAATAGTTTGTAGTGTAGTTGAATGTTTTGAATGTTACAGAAACAAGGATTTTGTAGTATAGTTAAATGTCATAGAAAATAGGATTTTGTAGTATAGTTGAATATCACAGCAACCAGTGTTTTGCAGTATGTATAGCTGAATGCTTTAAATGTTACAGAAACCAATATTTTGTAGCATAGTTGAATGTTACAGAAACCAGGATTACGTAGCATAGTTAAAAGCTTAGAGAACTACAGTGCTGTTCATACCTGAGACATTCTCCAACAGAATTTATGACTAGTATGTTGATACACCCATCACTGTCCCCAAATAAAATCAAACATTCATCTGATCCAGTGGCACTGGAATGTAACAGGCAACTTTTACTTATATCTGTGACATTGTGGTTGTGAATTATGACTGCTAGCATCCTAATCAATTTGAGCTTGACAAAAGTCCCCATACTAAAGTTAGATAATAATCACTTTTAACTGAGTTTGATCTTTCTGAAATATAGTTTAAATCTATTAAGTGGCACTTACCAATAATCAAGTTTTAATGGCACTGTCTCCAGACTACTGATTTGACAATATGGTTTATACGAAGAGGAGTCAAAGAACTGAATTTCCCTGTCTCTGTAAACACAAGAATTCATATTACATTGCAAACACAATTCTTTTTTATGATAGACATAAGAATATAACAAGTTTTCTTAAAAATCTTAAAATAATCACAAAATAAACAGAGGGCAATAATTTTTTTCAATAATTACTTATGTAATACTGTTGAATTTCAAAATTAAAATTCTTAAAACATAAAACTAAGAGATATCTGGTAACATGGAACTTGTGAATAATAAATCATTACAGTGAACCACAAACTGTACTTTTAAATATTGTAAATGAACTTTTTTCCACAGGGTCATAATTCTGCAAAATAACAACTTCTATTCAATGATCACATGTAAAATATTACGCGGATTATCGATTGCAACATCTAAAATGAAATTTAAATATGCTGACACAAATTTCTGCAGAAAATCTGTGACCGCATACAGAGCATAAATTAATCCCACGCAAAAAAAAGTATGTCTACAGTATAAGCATGCAGAAGCCACCATTTCTGGGCATCTTACCCAGTTCCAACAAGAACCTTCTTCCACTGAGCCATGATAACAAAATCTGTGATCCATTTAGTCTTCTGTTTGTTCTTGGCCTCAGTGTTCTGTAGAAAATAGATTTCTGTTTGATTCATTTTATCAATTATCATTTATTCTCAGTGAATGTTACCAAATGCACAGTTGCCATATGCTGTCTGTATATGTCTATAATGCAAGACACAGATATCATATATGGATTTTTCATTTATGAAGAAACTAAAGGATAAATGTAATATGGTAAAAAGGGTATCTTATACCAATTTAATTTCTATTTATGCTTTAAAAAATTAACAAAATAAATGAATGAAAAACTGAATACTGGCAAATCAACATCACAATCACTTAAAGCTAGCCTCTACTCTATGTTTACCTGCTGATCAAAAAATTTCTTTGCATTCTGCATGAAAATTCAGATATCACTAGGTGTAATATTACACAAACACTTGTATTAGGAAATCAATACAAGCTGTAAAATTAGGCATTATACATTTAAATGTATCTGATTTCTGTTTCAATTCATTAAATACAAACTTACCACAACATATTTGGTTTCTTTTAGTTCTACATTAGCTCCCCAGAAAGTCACCATTCCATCCTGAAATGAAACAAAGACAACTTAGAACTATTGTAAATCACTTTTTATTTGAGAGATCTTTTAAATTATATTTTCGCATAATTACATGAGATCATCAGCTTGAGAAAAATATAATTCTTGCATACATTTTTATTATTAAAGATTGTAAACAACACTAACCAAAGTTTGTGAAAATTTTGTCTCCTTTACAAATTCCAAATAACTTTCTCACAAATATAAGGTGTCACCAGTACCAACTTATTGAAATGCCAACAAGAGGCCTCAGTGCCATAATGCTCACTGGAGTCATCTTAAACCTTTGATTCCCTATGTTATCCCTATCTTTGACCCTGGGATAGTGACTTGACAGAATCCAATGATGTTTTGTGAAAAGTTTGAATGAAATTGGCCGTGATTATGGAGAAGATGGAAAAATATGAAAAGTTTCCTGCATGATTGACAGATGGATGCATTCTAATCAGGAATACTCACTTGAGCCTTTAGGGAACATACATTCTATAGAGAACAAACATTCAAACCCTGAAAACCTACGAAAAAGCTGTTAAATTTTGACCTGACTTATAACTTTCTGATACATTATGTTTTGACGATTAAATGACATCAAAACTGTTTTAAGTTGAAGTGGTCAAATTTTACCTGACTACATGCTATGAATGTTCCATCCTGGGTGTCTGTGATTTTCAGAATGGGATTTTTATGCTGTGGATTCTGTATCTTGGCGGGTAGATGGAAGTTGACTTCTTTGGATCGGAGGTAGGAGTCCTCTTTTTCAGCATACTCTAACTGCATGTACGTACAAAACTCATCCCACGAAATCACTCCCTCTGACGACCAGTCAATCTTCATAAATAGGGCATCTATCTGGTTCTCCTGATTAACAATAACTTAATAATACACATCTACTCAGCTTCTTAGCAGTTATATGAGAGTCAATATAGAAAATTTTATAATCATTCCTTACCATTTGTTTTATTGCATATGGGTTATCTGCATAACTTTTTGAACATTTGTTTTCCTATCAACTATCTACATATATACATTAAAATACAGCTGAAAGCCAAGGCAAATTGAAATAAAAAAATAAATAAAATTTTAAAGTGCTTTGTATATTTCAAAGGCACACCAATATATGTAGCTGTCAGAAGGAGAATATTAAAAACAAAGAACAAAACAGAATTAATAGTGATTCCATTGAAAAAAGGGCTAAGTGGAAAAGTTATAAAACAAGAACAAAGCTAAGAGTTCTTTTTATACTAAAATTACTTTTCACTATGCAAATTTAAACATAAAAATAATATGGTTAACTGATAAATATATTCTACACAACCTTTAAGCCATTTTAGTCTAATTTGACCAAAACAAAACAAAAAATTAAAAAGAAAAAAAAACAACTCTTGCATACCTAGAAATGTCTACCCACTAATCAATCAAAGCAATGCATAATGGAACAAATCTCACATAAAAAATGAATATCAGGCATACACTTCATGAAAATATACATCCCATAAAAATAGAGACCTCCAACCACAGATAATTCCAACTCTGCATGCATTTGCAAAGGGGATCAACTGATCAACAATTTACCTTGATTACACTAGGTTGTCCTGTGATTCAACATCATTATATATTTAGAGTTTGCAATACCCTCTAAAATGACCTTGACTTTTCACCAATAACCTTGAAATATGGGATTTTAGAGTATCTTTCACAATACTATAGCATTTAAGACCTGATGAACAATATAAATTACCTATTAGACCATACATGTTTGTTAACAACTAATTCTACATAATAAAGAAAAAATAAAACACATTTATACACATATATATATTCAGGGATCGACATTAACGGTTGTCCGATTGCCCGGGACAAGTAAATTCTCAGTTCGGGCAAGCGAAATTGTTGACGTACTTGTCTGATCGGGCAAGTGAATTTTTCTCATACAAATATACATATTTATTTAGTTTACCTTAATTTATAAATAAAACAATAAATTGAACACTTGATTTCTGCCACGGACCTGACTGACAATGTTTTTGCATTCGGAATTCCTTGGTAGCGTTTCTGGATTATACCACTCGTTTTAAAAATCGGGTTCATTATTTTCTTTTGTAGTAAATACGCTCTACGTCTAACAAAATTTTGTTAACTTCTTATTAGGAATTTATTTATTCAAGCATAGCATATAAGTACAGTGTAACACGATGTATCCTGATCAAGATAAGATGTATGTTTTGTAGCAACTATCTTCCTTAAGCGTTGCTTCACAGTTATCTCTGAAAGCACAGTCACAAAAGGATCCTACCGAAAATAATTTTAAAAATAGGAATTTTATGAAAAGGAAACTGAGGGTTATTGTTGCATGGCAGAGTGTGTTAGCAGGCTAAATTTACAAGCACAGTGGTATTCATTTATGTACAAATGCAGCATGTATCGACATTTTTCAGGTAGCTCAACTTGCCAAATTGCCAGTAGTGTACTTGGTCACATTTTTTCTTACCATAACATTTACAGTAATTAATAATTTTCTTTTTAACTTCTTTCCTTATTTTGGACAACCAAGTTTTGCATTCGGACAAGTCAAAGTTTGAGATCACTTGCCCGAAGGGCAAGTTAATCTGAAAGTTAATGTCTATCCCTGTATATTATACATGTATATATATATATATATATATATATATATATATATATATATATATATATATATTGAAATATTAAAAAAAAATCTACTCTACTACTTTTTAAATAGCAAATAAAATATGTATCTAGAATATATAAAAATGTATAATAATAATTCACATTGACTATATATCAGCACTGAAAATAGACTATAAGTAGTACTATTGAAGAAATAAAACTTACAAGTACAACTGTTGTTATTCCTGGGATTCGCTAGTTTCAGTACACAGTAAAACAATAATTATCATGATTTTAAAGATTTTAAATTCTCATAATCCTTGAAAAATAACACATTAATTTAGAGGTGAAAAATTTCATTGATATCATAGTAAAACAGGGTATATGCACCTTTTGATAGCTACTTAACTTTTAGTTTAAGGTCGATCGTTCTTTCTAGAATGAATATTAGCTGACAGAGAGAACTAGTTCCCTACACAGAACCCTTTATCAGCCTGCTTACTTTGTTGCCTTTGATGTAGAGCCTCTGTTTGAGAAGGGCCTTGAACTCCTCCAAATCCAGCTGTCCTGATTGGTTTGCATCAGCCTCAGCAAAGGCCAGCTTCAGCTGCTCCAATGTTTCAATGTTTATCTGCTCCTCAATCTTAAATTTAAAAAAAGACACCAATAATGTATCTGTAAAATTTTGATTTGATTTTAGCCTTTGCTGTTTATTAGGATGAATTTAGTCTCTATGAATCCAATCCCCTAGTGACAACCTGAAAAAAAACTTTTGTTTTTGTTGTCTTTAAAAAAAAAACTAGGTAATAAAATCTTATAATTAAACAAGGAACCACCAAAGTTCACCAAAGAATTTTACATTCCCTATTACTGCAAAATAATCAGTATTTAATGTAAACATCCAGATATATACCTCCAATGTACTACTGAAGGGATCATTTCCTCTGTCAATATGTAAAAGAGTTAGAGAAAAAACATCATCATCAAAAGCTTCAGAGCCTGAATAGGACACAGAAGAATATGATGAACTCTGCAGAAATTCCCAGGATGAAGCCATAACTACATCTTTTTCAGCCATTATAAGATTTAAACATTTATGCTGCTCAGACTTGACTCCAGTCAAGTCAATTATCAACACAATTTATCGCCATTAATTACAGATAACTCAGAATATAGACTTTACCTGTTTTCGTAACTTATTCATCCCTGCAGACCTGGTTCAATACGTTTTACAGGGGGGTGAACAGGTTATATTATCCCTGCACTGCATCTTTCTCAAGCTCAGACCTCACAGTTAAGTACACAGCTACTCATCGAGAGTGGTCATAAATTCATGTAAAAATTGATCTTAAAATAAGGAGAGACCCTCTTCAAGATTAAATGCTCCAAAATTATTATCAAATGGAAGTGGGAGAGTTTAATGGATTGTTGAGAGGCCTTGGCAACACGACACTATGTTGTGACCATTATAACACTGCAGTTGTTTTCCCTTTGTCATAAATTGCTTTTCCAATCTTGTTAATGAAGCGTGCAATAAACCAGGGAAAAGAAATGGCTAGTTCAATAGGAACAAGCCTACCTTTCTTCATTGATTTTGGAAATAACAGGAAGTAACAATTTTTGCCTTTCACAGGAATTATCCACAAACGAAATTAGGTTTGTATGAATGCAATGAAATTTTAGACTGACTAATGGAACAATATGTCATTATCTCCCTTTTTTGAATTTGATTTGAATAATTATATGAAATGGTGACATATACAATAGATTTCATTTTTAATCTAATGAATTTTTAGAGTACTTAAAATGTATCTAAGTCCATAAGATTAGTTATATTTACTTCAGAATCTCTTTTTTTTAATTTTACATATAAGATAAAAAAATCATTGTGCATATTATAGACAGCTGACACACTGATCAATGCAGGTGAGATCATAATCTCCATCCATCTTCTCAAACCTTACAACTTCTCTTACCCTTTCCTTCTTGTTTGTATTTTCCTCCCCTGAATTCTCTACAAACATACTATCCTTCCTCTGAGGGAACACCAGAGGTTTGACCAGTTCCTTGTAATGAATACTTTTCCAGTCCATGTTGTACACTTCTGAGGTACTTTTGATAGTCTTCATTTACAGACTTTCTTCGCAAAACTTACAGGAGTCAGAAATCATCTGAATCCCCTATGGAACTGGTTTCTATGACTTGCTTGTTTAATTATTTATACAATTAACGAACCCTAATTTAATCAAAGAATAGCTACTAGCACTATATGAATAAAAGATGAGAGGTGCAGTTCTCTGACTTACACCTAGTTACATGTCGGCTTTATGAGTAATAACAGTCCATTTGTGTATACATGTACATAGTCAGTCTTTGATATAGATTTGGTTTGTTTTGACTGAGAAGAGAAGAGAAATACAAGTGTATGTCAGTGTCACAACATATGATGACCATAAAGATCACTGTATTTACCAAGTGTTCTTTTTTTTACTGGTACGTATACATGCAATAGGATAATTTTGGGTAAAATGATAGTATATGGCAGAAATTTTTAAGTAAATGCATATAATTGGATATCTAATGAAATAGCTTAAGTTAGGAGCCAAAGAACAGTCTTATATTTCCATCCTTCCCAAAGAAGTACATGCAGACTTTGATCTAGAAATCTGTATGTGGCTCTTCTTTTCATTTATAGAAATTTTGGGACTTTTCTTATAAAGGTTGAAAACTGTAATCTGGAAAATAAAATCCAGTAAGTACGAAAGGATTTTCTTATAAAATATTTTATGACTATGATCAAATAAGTGCACAACTAGGATTCATGATAGGCCCATCTGGAAGTACATGATGCATACTGTAAACCAACTTTTATTCGCCTGCGAGAAATATCTGTGAATTTCACGACCTACTTTAACTTGCAAATATTAATCGCCGCGAACCATTTATTTTGCTATGTGTTAGTAAAGAATGTTTCCTAAGTAGTGAAAATTAAATGCTGCAGACCGATTTCAAACAGACGAATCGCGAATAAAGAAAGATGATGCAAAAAATAGTTGGTTTACAGTATCTACATTTATAGTTTAAGCTATCCAAACATTCATCAAAATGAATCTTCCTTATGTATCATCTTAAAACCAGTGACTTAATTATATATTAATGGGAAAAACAATTTAACTTCTTCAGTGTTGTGCATGTTTATTTCCCTGGCCCAGAACATCAAACAACAGGGATTACTCTAGGTTTGGGGGGAAACTACCCCTTTTGGAGAATTTAGGAATACCCTCTGATATGATGTTTCATACTACATGTACTACATTAATTAACTTGTTCTGAAACAGATTTGGCTTTAAAAGTTGTACAAAGAATAAAAAAAATACTACAAGTAAAACGTACTTGCTTTGTAAAAATTGTGTCTCAACTACAGCAAAGTAAATCTTTATTGCTTAATGGTTATAGAACTAAAAAGAAAAAGAAAAAACAAAAAAAACAAAAACGATGTGTTTGTGAAACACTGATCCCCCCCCCCCCCCCCCCCCCCGTATGGCATTTTATAGCAAAGGTTAAACTTTCACAAATGCAAATGAAATATGTTGGTACCCAAAGTAAGGTCTTGTCTCGAGGAATCTACCTGTAAGATATGAAAGCCCTAGCAAGCAGCAACCATTGAATAGATATGGAAAAGGTTAAAGTTTTTCAAAAGTATGTCAAACATCAAGGTCAAGGTCAAATTGTCAAAATTAACGGTGCCCAAGGAAAAGGCCTTCTCCCAAGAAATACACAGGTGAAATATGAAAGCCGAAGCACCAATCGTTCAAAAGTTATGGCCAAGGTTAAAGTTTTTCAAAAGTAGGTCAAACTCCTAGGTCAAGATCAAAAGGTCAAAGTTGTTGGTATCCGAAGGAAGGTCTTGTCACAAGGATTACACATGTCAAGTTTGAAAGCCCTGGCACCAGTTGTTCAAAAGTGATCGCCAAGTTAAAGTTTGGTAAAATTTTGCAAAAGTGGGTCAAACTCCAAGGTCAAGGTCAAAAGGTCAAATATGGTGGTACCCAAAGAAAGGTTTTGTTACAAGGAATACACATGTGAAATACGAAAGCCATAGCTCCAACCAATCAAAAGCTACGGGTTCTTCGATACGGGGGCATAAAAAGGTCAATTTTTCACCCAGCAAAAGGAGAAAACAAGTTATTCAGGAGAGAATTATCTCTTTGGAAAAATACCTACTTTTAGTAGAAAATATAGTGAATATAGCCTATAATATAAGTCCCTGAATTACATTTATTCCCAGAAAAAAACAAGATTCATGGACATGGAAGATATTGGGAGATTTGTGGGAGTTGCCAAACTCGTTAGTATATTAACTAGGTTCTAGCTAAAACTATCCTGTTAGTATATTTAATTTATGTCCCAGCTAAAACTGTCCAGGGCTAGACAAATAGAAATTTGCAGTACTTGCCCTCGGACAGGTTACAATCGTAAAATTACTTGTCCTACCAAAAACTATGCTTGTCCCACTTTTTTCTTAAATTACACAAAATTAAAGCATCAATATTAAAATTATTTCTTGACTGAGACACTACACGAGGACCAACCTAGATCTAAAATCCCACGGATAAATTTTTGGGGCTAATTTTAAGGAACCTTCTTCCTCAAAATTCTTCAATAAGATCCTCTTTTTTTTTAAAAAATTAATGTGTATTTATTTGATGAAAAATGTGAAAAATAACGAACAGTGATCAGTCTCAAAATACCTACAAACACTACAAATCTGTGAACACTAGACTGCATGTCGATTGAGCTATCTACATCCTGGCTGTGTGATTGCCAGGGAACACCAGTCAGTCAATTTTGATACCACTAACTCGTCTGTATTCACAGTATGAATTTAATATTTGACAACAAAAAAAGGTCTAAAATCCCATTCAACTTTTTTGGCGACATCGGCTAGCTACCATGTTTTACGACTTCTGTATATCTTAACAATACGTTAATCATGGGTAAATTCTAGAGGAGTTCTGACCGAGTATTCGATGTAGTGGTCAACAGCAGTGAAAACAGGTGCTTTGCTGTGATAAATGATACTTTAAAAGTGACAACACAAAAGACATTTGAGTAAATTATTGTTTTTTTTTTTTTGATAATTGGAAAAGCACTTGTCCGCGGGCAGGCGCCACTTATCAAATAACTTGCCCAAAAAACAAAAGTGGTCGTCCTGGGCGTCGGGCAATGCTATTTGTCTAGCCCTGCTGTCTGCTTAATTTACTATAATACATGTATTTGGAGGGGTTTGAAATGAGGGTTAGGACTTTTTGTATTAGGCTTAAAAAAATATGTGTGTTTCCGGTAACCCGGAACTTTTAACCACTGACCTTTCACAGGATGAAACTCTGCCATTCAGTTAACTGAAAGGTGACTGAATGACTGCTGAAAGGTGACTGAATGGCAGAGCTCTGTTATTTTTTTCATCTTCCCAGACCTTTTAGTGACCATTCAGTTGACTGACAGGTATAGTTTTATCCTGTGTTTACTTCTTATTCCAAATCTGGATTTTGAACTCAGTGTACTGGTACTTTTGTTTACTAGTACAGTTTTCTCATGCTGCAGTCAATAAAATGCATGTCTCAGTCTCTCAGTCACCTTAAAAACTTGCATCTATACAAGTGTTTTAAAGAGTATACCACTTTCGTTGTATATATGTATGTATATATGACAAAAAAAAAGTGTATTAAATAAATACTGTACGTGTACATTAATTGGCATATTCAAAATTTAGCGCAATGGAGTATGGAGTTGTTGGTGAAATCATGAATTTGCGCTACACATGTCCGTGTCTTATATTGTGTTTATAAATGATTTTTTTTGCGGTATTCATGAATTTGCGTATCGATGTCTGCGCCAAAGCCGCTAAATTATGAAGCCTGCTTTTTTAAGTACACATACAGTAACTAATGGTTTCAAAATGTAAAATAAAGTTTAAAAAAAGGGATCACCTACCTACCTACCCTTAGTTTTTTTGGCATGTTACCGGATACACACGTATTTTTTATGGGACCTTATTTAATTGCTCTACAATATTAAGAGCATGCAGGATGGCTACTTATATTCAAGTCACAGGTTTCTGGGAGCAGAATACAAGCCTTTGCTATTTCTTAGGTGCTTGGACTTTTTCTTATGTCATGCAACATTGAAAATTATGAATAGAGCCTTAATTTTTTATTGGTATTATACAGGGTTGTCCCTAAGACCTGGGGGTCAGGTAATTTCTCCGCCTATAATAACATAATCCCCCAGTTATTGTGAATTGTTGATATACGTAAGATGTTTTTGTCTATTTTCAAGCAAAATTACACAAATTAATTAATTTTGTCTGCATCCTTTGCACACCAGTAATATTTTCGCTTTTTATACATGTCCCTGACATGAACCGGAAGTTTACAGTTGCTACAACAATCGCCATTTTTACTAGAAACCTATAAGTACCTACATTCCCGTAAAACAAGTACAAGGAATATAATACTTCATTCATACTTCATGTACATGCAAAAGCATCATTTTATGTGAATAAATCATGTTTTTAAAAATAAATAGTCCTTCGTGTTCAAAAAGAGGATTTCGTTCAGGAGTCACACAGAATAAGAACATGTTGACATGGTCGTCTCAAAACATGAATAATTTTATATCACACGAGAAAAAAAAATCACGTTACCTTATTTTTCAACTGCTGCGAAACAGAGCCTTGGATACTTCCTGGTCGTTTGATGGACTCCAATTCCTGAATTCCGTCCACAGCCCCAAGAGTTAATCGACGGGGCTGTTTTGCCGCCTCGATGAAAGAGTTGTCTTCTTTAGGCGGTTCCCATTGTTTCCTGGATCCTCCTGCTTGAGTGGTAGGTCTCGGAGGTTTGTCTGAAAGCAGCCCAGACGTAGCTGCGGTGGCTGGTCTCTGGCCATTATCAAGTACACTAATAGAATAACAGTGAAGATTAGCAGAAGCCGAACTGGGTCGGATGAGTTTTTTACGAGCCTTATTGGAGCCTGTCACTGGACGGCTCGACGGCATGATGAGACGTAGATTGTAAAACAATTCTTACAAATTCTCGATCAAAACCTTCTCGCTCTCACTGATCAACAACCTTCTATCAAACAACGGCGTCCATGGATTTTGACTGCTCTTCCGTTGATCACGTACTTCCGTCGACTCTCTACAGAGCACGTGATTAATTAGTGAAACGGGTGCGAAATTTAAATGAAAAAGGATTACAGGCTCGTACCAATAGAGGAGATTAAAGATACGATAATAATTAGTGTCTTATTTATAATCGTTAGTTTAACACGTTACATGTTTTAAAGTAGGCCTGTAATCTTAAGTTTTCTCAATCATTCTTAATTCTACATGTAAAATGTTTAAAATGATAAATTATGAGATATATTTGATGTACTTCCATGATCAAGTTATTGACACAGGCCTTCTCATATTGTTATAAAATGACTAACCTCTTCAACAGATGTGGCGTCAAATAACATTATGACATCACATGTGACATGTTAAAAATTGCATTGTGACGTCATAATTTGTAATCCACCCACACAATATTTATCGAAAACATGGGCTCAACCTCATCCAGTATTTTGCTGAAGTAAATCCATGTTTTTCATGAAAGCGTAAACAGATTTAAAATTTCATTGTTAAACAGATAATTATTTCACATACACTGTAGATACAATGTAATACAAATTTGAAACAGGTATTTTGAATTTAATTTCATACTTTTTGTTAATTTGGAAATAGAATTTTTTAATAGATAGTACTAGAATATACAGAGTTTAATTAAGCATTGAATCATTAATTTTTGAAAGATATAGTCTCATAACTGCAACGGTGTGTGCAGACAAATTGCGCGTTATGAAAGTTTGTTTGCAAACACCGTTGCAGTTACGAGATTATATCTTTCGAAAAATAATGATTTAATGCTTATATAAATTACATTTTTAACTCCTTGCCTTGACTGCAAAAGTGATTTTTTTTTCAAAATCCCTGAATTATCCTTCGGGTAAATTTCAATTAATGGAAGAGCTATTGCAACAGCTTCTTTTCAAAGTGAGCGTGAATTTTGATTTTCGCTTACTGGACGTTGCACTTCCATTTCAACTTTTAACCTTTTGACCCCCTTTACGAGTTTTGGTGTTTGAAATCCGTCACTTTCTAAGCAAAATACATATGGTAAATATTTAAGCATTGAATCATTATTTTTGAAAGATGTAGTCTCATAACTGCAACGGTGTGTGCAAACAAATTGAGTAACGCGAGAATGTATGACAAATAATTTCAATTCCTAAATACATGTTTGAAATTCATATTTATATGAGTTTTTTTGCCTATAATTTTAAGGATACATGTACTTAAAAGTCATAGAAGACCGAAATTATTTATTCATTTGATTCTAGAAGGGGGGGGGGGCTGTAAAAAATTGTTGAGTCAGATCATGCCTTCACATGACAGATTATATATTTATTTCTGACAAGAGTTTTTCTTTTCTTTAGTTTTGTCTTCACTGAAAAATGTTTGACATACAAAAACAGGGTGGGGTTGTCCAAACTAAAACGAAATTTTCTTATTTATTTCCAGGATCGTTCAACCCGCCTCCACCCCCACTCCAACATACACATACTCATACCAAAGAGAAATCAAATATTTGTCCCTTTATATTAAATATTTCTTTAAAAATACTACAGAAAATTCTGATTTATTTAAATTTCAAACTATTCTGGAATTGAAATTATTTGTCTTCTGGGTCAATCAGTAACACCGTGCGTTCTGGCGTAGCTGAGGTGGATTGAAAATGAATTTCAAACTAGAATTTCAATACAATGTTTTCTCGGACGTCCATGTCGAATTGTACCCGCCCATTTCATTCTTTTGACTGTAACAGATGGAAATGACGTAAGTTTGGGGATGCGCGATTTTATCGGTATACCGGTATATCGCGATTTTTTATTGCGTGATACGTATCGTGATACGGAGACTAAAGTACCGGTATTTGGTACATAACTATAAATTCCGGAAATTATTCATTTATTTGTTCAAACTATTGAATGACAATTACAGGAAGTTTAAAAAAAAAATGTTGAAAACAGTTAAATACCGGTAACGGCATTCAAACATGTTTACATTAAATAAATAAAAAATTAAGAAGTAAAGTTATGTTTTTAGAGCATATTTTAAAGAAATATTAAGGAAATTCATTTGAAATTGTTGTAAAAATTGTATGTAAAAATATCACGATTTATCGTGATATTTTTGGGGGGAAATCGTGATATATCACGATACGACATTTTTGCCGATATCGATCCCTACGTACATGTAAGTTACATAATTTCCAATTTTGCCAGTTAATGTTCCGCGATCTTATCTATGGCAACATTTACTTTTACGGAAATTAGTCTTTTAAGAAACCGCCACATCACTCACACTCGTAAAGCAAAATGATACATGTATGGAAATCAAGTTACAAGTTGGCATTTCTCAAGCTTCAATAATGTGTAAAACATGAGCCAAATATTTGAAAATATTTATTTACATGTTTAGCGCATTGTTAAAAAGATCTGATGCGTCGTATAAATCGAAATAGATATCTACAATGACTTTTTTTTTCAATTGAAACATTTATTAATTTAAACATATAATATTATTATCTATACCTCAGACACAAATATTATTCAGTGAATGTCATCATTCGTAATCTTTGTAAAAGTTTGCGCAAGTCTTTCTAAACTCATCGCGACTGCGGAATTTACGAATTCTTTATCAATGTTGTCTCTCTATACTTATTGTCGCCGGCGACAATATGAACCCACTCTCATTGCACATATTGTCGTCCATCGGTACATATTGACACTGGCTGAAATGAGCCTTTTTCGTCTTCCTACAAAATAGGCGACGAAGTGTACTAGTACCTTACAAACCTGGGTATTGGCTGCGAAAGTTTGCGTAGTGTGTCGAAAGTGTGTCGAAGTAGTTGAAAGAATGTATTACTGGGATCGGAGACAGAGAAAGAGATTGATATATTCTGAATTTATATTAATAATGTTAAATGCACCATTCTTGTGTAAACTCACAATCGCACCATTTTTGTGTAAATTCAAGCAATCCCTAGGCAACCCTAACAGGGGGGGGGGGGGGGGATAAGTGCAGTGAGGGTATCCACATATTGTCGTCAGCGACAATATGTATGTACACCTACAATTTTTAAGTCGAAAACAATTTGTGCCAATGGACGACAATACATGTACAGTGTATGTGCAATGAGTTTTGATGCATATTATCGCCGATGACAATATGTATAGGACGACAATATGAACCTTCACAAGGTCCCTGGCATTAATATACAATTATAGCCTTTTGATGAGGTCAGTCCCTAGATATATAGACCTTAGAAAAAGCATAACGACCGAGCACGAAGTGCGAGGTCGATATGCTTTCTCTAAGGTCTATCAGTAACAACGCCTACCGGTTTTTAAGGTTCTCATCCGAAGGACCCGCAACTTTCACTTCAGAGTGCCAAGCGCTTGGCGAAGGAACAGTTGCTACCTATTTTTTTTTTTTTATCGATTTAGGTCAGTCGCGGCCATGAATCGAAGATTTCGAACACACGACCCTCCCATCACGGAGCGAGCGCTCTACCGACTGAGCTACCATGACGGCTTTCATTATTGAAACTTATGAAATTAAGAAAAAATAAACTTTTCCGAGGAAAAATTTCTTGGCAAAAATTATTCTGTCACACAGGAGTTCGCATACCTATCAATTTTACCAAAATTTTCAGTAAATATAAAAAATACGTAATACCTATATGTGTTATTATTATAGGTATTACGTATTTTTTTATTTACTAAAAATTTCGGTGAAATTGATAGGTATGCGAACTCCTGTGTTCTGTCATTAAAAAAATAATGTGGTATTCGTGGGGTTCGAACCCTGGCAATAAAAATCCTAAGTATTATTTTCTTTGTTTTTTTGTTTTGTTTGTATGTTGTTTAACGTCCCTCTTGAGAATGTTTCACTCATATGGAGACGCCACCACTTGCCGGTGGAGAGCTGCAAATTTTGTCCTATGCTCGGCACTTACGGCCATTGAGCAGTGAGGGATCTTTTTCGTGCCAGCACCTACTGCGACACGGGACCTCGGTTTATACGGTCTCATCCGAAGGACCGGTCTTCCACGTCCCACAGTGGGATTCGAACCCGCGACGTAAGGATCAACTCCTTACTTCGCGACTCTAGAGCAGACGCTCTAACCACTGCGCCACGCGGGCGACCGTTTTGTTTGAGACGAATATGCTAACTACTACGCTACTCAGCTCCTGATGAATCATGTTTATGGTATGACCTTTGACTAAATGGACTTCAAGTATTTCTCGGAAAGATTATTAGGGTATAGTGGATTTTTGCTCCATGTACTTGTCAATCAAAAAATGTATATTTTTTACGCATACTTTGACGATAAACTTTCAAAAATATATAACAAAGACCCACTCATACCGAGAAAATGTGTTATAGAATAAGAAAATGATCCAATTTGCCCTCTTTACTGTGTGTATACTATTTCATAGGCAAATAATTTGAATCTCTGTGAGATTTTTGCAAATTAAGGAGATTTTACATAAAGTACTGTATTCTTTAATTTTAGATGAAATATCAAAGAAAATTTTGTTATTTTTCACCTTAATTCATACTTGTCGCACTATGTGCATTCGCTCCCCTTGTTCGGCCACCTTCTTTTTGCGGACGGACAGACAGAAAAAAGACAGATCAAAAACTAATCTTAGAGTACGGGGACATAAAAAGAAATTTTTAATGGAAAATTTATAGTGTCAGGATAAAACCCAATAAATCTACAGTCTGAACCAAAAAGTAAAAAAATAGAAGGCTGTATTGGAGAAAAGAATGAGAAAGGAGCCACAAAATCAAAAAAGAAAAACGAGAAATAATCCAAAACAAACACACACACACACACAAATAAATTAAACGTCAAGAGTCAGACAGCATGTCCAGAGCTCCAAGAGACTCTTTAAAAATTCTCTTTTAAATATAAATCTTATTCTATTTACAATAAATGGAATTCATCTCTAAAAGAAAAAAATGGACCATTCTTTGAATAATTATAAGATATATAGTTTGCAAAAGGAGTACCGTAGCAGAAAGAAAGAAAACTTGAAGGTTGAATGTAAAAGTATATCTTTTCGCCAATATTGTGTACGCAAATATTGCATGTAGTTGAGTGTAACAATGAAAATTTTCACCCCAAGAAATCCGTTGTCAACCGAGGCGCAGCCGATGTTTCAATATTACACTCAACTACATTCAGTATTTATTATATTATACTGATATATATAAATATATAAAACAGTGAACTGTGCGCGCATAAATTCTGCACAGTCAATATTATACATTTATTGACTGGGTTCGAGGGCAACATGCGTTTTGTCGGACCCAAGAACCAAACTGTTTGCCGAAGGCAAACAGTTTGGTTCGAAGGGTCGACAAAACGCATTTTGTCCGAGAACTCAGTCAATAAATGTTTTGTTATACCTTTTACTTTTTATTTTGACATAACATGATGTAAATTTTGTTTACCCGTACTAGCTGAGGTTTAAACTTGGTCAATTCTGGAAAGTTCTGTCGAACTCCAACGAATGCAAATAAGATACATCTGAATCCGCCCACACTGTGACGTAAGCGGTCCAACATCTCGACAGGTCCAATATCTCGATCTGCGGTCAAACATTTATTTTTTTATGACCGCTCAGTAAAACATTGGAAATGTTAGACTTTTTTAGTATAGAATTATATCGGAAAACAATTTTTAAAGGTATAACAATATACAGTTATTGACTGGGTATGAGGGCAACATATGATTTGATGGACCTGAAGGTGAAAATGATGCCCGAGGCCGCAGGCCAAGGGCTACATTTTCACCTTTAGGTCCAACAAATCATATGTTGCCCGAATCCCAGTCTATAACTGTTTCGTTATACCCTTCACTTCAGATAGAACAATTAAAATTAAAACATTTGAACAGATTTAATCAATATATAATCAATTACTTTCTTTGGAAAATTTTGGCTTGATCTATTAAAATAAAACAAATAGGAGAAAATGAAATAATCAAAAATAAAATTACTATATCACAAAAATTATTTATCACAAAACATACTCTTTCATATAGCAAACGACAACTCTTGCAGCATTTCCGTGTCACCGATATTGAACGACGATTTATTACTTGTGACGTAGCAGTGACGTAATATTCCTATGTTGGACTGGCAGGTTGGTCAACAATAAAATTGTTAGACCGATGCAATTAACATTTCTTTTGTTGGACTTTTTATTAGTAATAAATACATATAAAGATATTTACAAGGGCATAACACACACACACACTCTCTCACACACACCCTCACACACACACACCCTCACACACACACACCCACACACCCTCTCACACACACACACACACACACACACACACACCCTCACACACACACACACACACACACACACACACACACACACACACACACACACACACACACACACACATATATATATATATATATATATATATATATATATATATATATATATATATATATATATATTGTCAAGCAATATTGACTGTTGCTACGCCGGAGGGCGTGGTTTCATCATTCAGAGGGTAATAATGTTTTATATTATACTTGCATGTAAATTACTTGAATTTGATTCGTCGAGAAACATTTATTAATTGTTAAGAACACGGTTTCCCTCTGAATGAGGAAACCACGCCCTCCACAACGAAGAAGAACAACAGTTAACGGGACATCCTCATGTATCGTTGGACGCGGTATTTTACCATTTACTCTCGCACGTTCGGAAGTTGCCAGGTGTTTTTTGTTTAAATAAAATTATTGACAGTCTGAAATGTGTGTGTTTTTAATGAATTAATTAATATTGCTTAATAAACCCATTAATTTTCCACAAAATCATTGATTTTTCAAATACAAGACATTGAAATAAACTTGAAAGATGATAGTTTGCATGTAGAAAGTTTAACATGCCTGATATAAATGCCTGGTATTTTTTTTAAAGCCCAGCCAATAGTAAATTACACAGGTACTTGTGGACAGGACCCCCCCCCCCCCCAATTTTTCAACCCCAGGGCTTATAATGTAGAGTGGGGTATTTTTGTGTGGATTGATTATTTTGAGGTTTTCACGATTTTTTTCCTATGGTACACATCATTAATAAGTGTACTATATGTAATAAATATGATTTGTGAAAAAAATGTCCAACAAGCCCCGGGGTTGAATATCGGGGAGGGGGGGGGGTCCTGTCCACAAGTACCTGTGGTAAATTATAGTAGATTTTTGTTAGGGAATGACCGTTATGGAAATTGTTCATACAGGAACAAATCGTGGTAACAAATATACTTGCGCCGAAATGTGAAAGCATGCACATTTTTTTTCTGTGCTTGCGGTAAAGCAGTGTCGAATCGCGGAAAAGTGAAATTGCGAATAAAACGTTGGAATCCGAAACTGTATAAATTGTTCAAAGATCTTATGAAACAGTCACACTGAATGTTAAGTTACGAACAATGGTAAAATGATAACTTTAATATAATGATACAAGTACAATATATATATCATACAAAATATTGTTAAAACAAAGTAGTATATAATTACAGAGACAGCGATGGTTACATTTAAAATATTTATATTGTTACTGTGTCATACGTATATCTTAAAACACTTCCAGGGTTCAGATCAATTCACTCAGACTAGTTTTCTTGACTTTTTGAAAATAAAAATAATTATTTGGTCAGCAAAACATTTATACTATTTTGGGTTTCTTTCACTACAGTAAAGAAAAATAATTACATTTGTGGTTCATGTCATTAAATGAAATGGAATACAGTGTCTACAGAAACAAGATGTGTTTGTGAAACACTATGCACCCGGCAGCAACAAAGTTCGAAAAAGCTATTTTTAGCATATAGGTCACAGTCAAGGTCACAAGGTCATTGACCTTAGTGTCATTTGAAAGAGCTTAATTAGTGGAGTATGCGTACCAAATATGAAGTCTCTATCTCTCATGGTTCAAAAGTTATGGCGAAGGTTAAAGTTGACAACAGACAGACAAACAGACAGACAGGACAAAAACAATATGCGCCCCCGATCTATCGATCCGGGCGCATAAAAAATCCGGATCATGGAGACCTTTTATTACAGCAGAACTACATTCATCTCCCAGCAGACAATTTTCTTATGCACAACAAATATTCAAATAACCATCTCTCATTCTTCAACTAGCCGAGCTTATAAAACTTAACAAAATTATCATCAAATAACCATTAGTATTTGCGTAAAAAAATTGGTTTCAGTAAGCAAACTTGCACAGATAACAGATTTATATACGTGTTGGTTATTGAGACTCATTTGTGAAATAAAACGATTTTGATTTTTTATTATAATAGTATTTGATAAACATTAACCGGTTATTTAATTTAAAATGCTATACTAATACCTGAATACACATACATGGACGTATAAATATGTGCTATAATTTTGACTTAATTGACATTATTCACTACCTTAAGTGATAGTCTACGTGTTTTTGTAGAATTTTCCACTGTGAACTACTGCTATATGTTATTCTTTTTTAGTTTTGTAGCAATATCATCAATGATTAATTATCAAAGAGAGAATGTCAGTAGACTTTGGTTCATTGAATAATACTGGACAAGTTGTAATATGATTATCTGACAGCAGATGGCACTAGCGATGGCGGGTGGAAGCCCGTGGTGGATCTCACATTTTACATTTCACAGTGGTGATGCTGTCAGTCGAGGATAGATCTTGTTTTGCCAAAGTTGATCCCACTCTGTGAGGCCCCCCGATTTGACCCCGCCTGTAACCCTATCACAGTTTGTCCTGCCTTCATTGTCTCTTCATCAAAATTTCTAGGATTATAATCGGCCTCCTTGGGACCTAACGCAGGTCCCTGAAATCCATTCTTCTGAGTCTAAAATGGAAATATATAAACACATTTATACATACTTTCACATACATTTTTGTTTTATTTCTGATTGTTTGTAAATTTTGAAAGGAAGTCAATATTTTTTGGAAAGGTATGGACCGATGCATCAAAGAGATTAAGTTATTCAAAGAAAGTATTATTCTGGCCCCTTACAAGTCTTCCTAAGGCATATACTCCATTCACAACTTGTGTCATATTTTGTCGTTCGTACAAATCTACTACTTGGAAGAGATCTATCTTTTTACATCCATAAGCCTCTGCTGCCTTTAGAAAATTTTCTATGTTCTCCATCATTTTAAAAGCCATAGTGCTTTCATTAATTTTCCTTATTGAACCTGGTTTTATTGTATTCATTAATCTGAAGGGAAAAAAAGCAGAAAGTAACATCAAAATGAACACAAATAATTTGTATTTTTTAAATATTGAATGTATACATTAAGCAGGCTGGAAATATTATTTCAGAGCGTATTTTGTTTCTCTGTAAACATACTTGCACAAAATAACACCATTTCTTAGAGCCTCCTGGAATGCCCGCTCCCCTAAAGGTGTGTTTTGATCCGCTTCCTGAAAAAAAATGATAAAGTAAGTAGGGATAAGGGTTTTTTTCCGGATGAACTGAAGTCAAGTGAAATCTTCAAGATGTCCTAGCAATGCTGAAGAAAAAAGCCGAATTGCAGTACATGTATGTGTCCATCTTGGTGCGTTTATTTTAAAATACTTTTAAACAGTAACTTACTGGAACTTATTTTAAACCATTTTTAAATAGTAACTTACTGGAACCAATTCAATCCCTAACACTGCTTCGATCCATAATCGGGCGCCTTGTTCCAATTCTTCGCTGTACTTTCCTTTGATCTGAGGAAATACAGTACAATTTTCACAAACATGCTCACGTTTACTAAGTATGATATTTAAGGTAAATAATGTTTATGAAATTATTTCACATTTTCATATGTCCCTTTTTATCTTTCTATGCACTTCCCAAGTCATATCCAACCCTTTCCTATCTTTCTCCATCCGCATCTTTCATGTCAATTTTGTAATTCCTCGCCATTTCTTATCTTTTTCTACACATTCACAGTCAATTAAGTAATACCCCCCTTTCTTAACTTTCTCTGCACTTCCCCAGTAATTCCTCGCCCTTTCTTACCTTTCTCTGCACATCCTCAGTAATTATCCGCCCTTTCTTCCCTTTCTCTGCACTTCCCCAGTAATTCCCTGCCCTTTCTTGCCTTTCTCTGCACATCCTCAGTAATTCCCCGCCCTTTCTTACCTTTCTCTGCACTTCCCCAGTAATTTCCCGCCCTTTCTTACCTTTCTCTGCACATCCCCAGTAATCATCCGCCCTTTCTTTGCACTTCCCCGCTCTTCCTTACCTTACTCTGCACTTCCCCAGTAATTTCCGTCCTTCCTTACCTTTCCCTGTACTTCCCCAGTAATTTCCCGCCCTTTCTTTGTACTTCCTCAGTAATTCCCCGCCCATTTTTTTTTTACCTTTCCCTGCACTTCCTCAGTAATTCCTCCCCCCCCCCTTTCTTACCTTTCTCTGCACTTTCTCAGTAATTCCCCGCCCTTTTCTTACCTTTCTCTGCACTACCCCAGTAATTCCCCGCCTTTTTCTTACCTTTCTCTGAACTTCCCCAGTCAATCCATAGGCATGGGGCCTATGAGCCATGGCGCCTGAGGAAAAACAACAGATATTAAAAAGTTTAATTTTCAACTCTTCATGTTTATTTAGACGTAAATGTAACTGTAATAAATATATGAGGAATCTCAAATTCACTTGTGTCCACAGTCAAATTATGTGCAAGAAATAATCCCAACCGTAACTGTTATAGACATAAAACAACGGGCCCATGGTTCACATCTGTGTCACTTTAGCCCTACAGTTCTCCAGAAGACTTAGGAAATTTTTATGCATGAAAAATACTGACCCCGTATTATGGCCACACCCTAATATTTAGCCAAGGGGTCCCTGATTCCACATAACATCGGGATTCTTCAGTATCAGTATAACATGGCCTTGCTGTTATGGGGAGGAAGGTTCTTTTCCTGTGTGCAATATGTAAATTTTATCCAGCTGAAAAGATTTAATTTTTTTCTAACTATACAACCTCAGGATGCTTTCACACAAGTTTCATCTTTCCCGGCCTAATGGTTCATAAAAAGACATTTTTAAGGACCCTCTATACACTGATGAAAAATGTTTTTTGGACTTTGAGAAAATTATGTAACATAAAGGAGGATGTTTTGTAATTAACTAACTCATTTTTAATATAGGGAGCGTGCCTTTTTTATTCAGGAAAAATCTTCAAAGACAATGAACTAATAGAAAAGAAAAATTGCCTTCACTGACTTAAATGGATAAAATACATGCAAATTAAGTTTTCAAATACTCTATCTTGGTCTAATATAATGTTTAGAATACTTGAATTTATTTCAAATTATGTGATTTAGTTCAGATTACAATTTTGATCTACTATTGTGTTCCCTTCCGACCCCTGAGGGCCATGACTTGAACAATTTAGAACTTATACAACCTCAGGATGCTTTCACATATTTTTCATCTTTTCTAGTCTTTTGGCTCATAAGAATATTTTTAAATATTTTCCCTATATATTTCAATTTCAAATTGTGATCTCCTAATGTAGCTCCATTCTACCCCCAGGGGCTATGGTTTGAACAATTTAGAATTTACACTACCTTAGGAAATTTTCACATAAGTTTATATCTTTCTGGCAGGAAATTTTCACATAAGTTTATATCTTTTCTGGCCCAGTGGTTCTTGAGAAGATGAGAAGATTTTTTTTACTGATCTGTTTTTACCTTTTCTTGATTATCTCCCCTTGGAAGGGGGCTTGGTCCTTCATTTGGACAGTTTAGAATTCCTTTTACCTTATGATGCTTTGTGCCAACTTTGGTTAAAATTGGCCCAGTTGTTCTTGATATGAAGTCAAAAACGTGAAAAGTTTACAGATGACAGATGGATATATGCTGGACAATGGAAGAAAAGCTCATTTGAGTTTCAGCTCAGATGAGCTAAAAAAAAAAAAAAACCCTGTACAATGTATTTTCTTTCTTTTTTCGAGGGTATAGTTTTGGTCTGTCTGTGTCTTTGTCTCTTTTTTATGTCTACAAAACATAGTCATAGAAGTCAAGGGGATCACCAATTCGAAGTAGAGTGTGCCGGCTGATTGGGCAGAGAGTCTGAGAGCCGCCTTGAGACCCCTAGTGGGTCAAAGACAAAGCCCTGGTGGGGGTCCAAGGGGCAAATCCCCAAAACTCCTGGATTCTAAAGATTTTGAAGGACAAAAATGGAGTCAAGTTCCCAAAAGTTCCTGTACGTAATAAATCAGAGCTTAAACTAATTAAGGTTTGCATGGGTAGCTAAGTGGTTTATACTTTGTAATATTCGATCAAATTTAAATTCGGTTCAGGTTTTATGTATTATTTCCGTGGTTTACACTAATGGTGCATTAATTTGCTAAATTATGTATATTCTAAGAAGAATATATTTCCAAAATTTATCTATCAAACTCTTTCCAATTATTTCATTTTTACGATTTGTCTTATCCATAGTTAATTAACTTGCTCATTATTTCTGAAGTAAACAACTGGTAAACAAAGTGGAGATTAGCTTATCATTATGGAGAGTGTTTTGCTATTTTGAACGGAGTTAATTTGAAAAGGGTCAAGGTCACAGGGATTGAAATGTCTAGTCAATAATTTTGGTTCAGACAGGTATCTCAATTATGGTTAGAGGGTGTCATGACTTTCAAAGGGATTTTGGACACTGTAAAAATCATAAGAATTGAAGGGGTGAGATTCTTGAACGCTTCTGACTTATGAGAAAAGTTAAGAAAAAGGTGGCTCATTATGGGAGATAATTATTGGAATCCTGAACCGATCGATGTAATCTGGACGAGGTCAAGGCCACAAGTGGGAAGTGTTAAATACAAGTCGGGTTCGTATTTTTGGTCCACAACGGTCGCTTATGATCATAAAGTGTGAGCCATGTTCATTTGAACAAGATCAAAGGTCGTGCACTTGTTCATATGATAACTCTGAAATTTTGATTTATAGAATGTATCATCTGAGCACCTCTAAATGGTCCTATTTGTCCCCTTTGATGCCATATCAATTTCTCTGTGGTTTATCAGTTTATTTGGAATGCACTAAAATGCATGCATGTGGGGGTATCTTTGATATCCCCAGTCTACGGAAACCAGAGGAAATTAAATTAATGTGACCTCTGAGTGATGTACATTAAATTTCATTTATAAAACAAATTAAAAATTAATTTGAAAGAGGATCAACTTTATACATGTATATAAACCTATTAAGCCCAATGAATGGATCCATTCAAATTTTGTAGAAAATTAGCATTTAAAGAAAAAGCTACTGATATTTTTTTTCAAATTCATGCCCCCCCCCCCCCCCCAGGCAGGGTATCGAACACATGCGGTCAAACCAGAACGTTGTATAAACTGTGTTTACCTTGACCTTGCTATAGGGAGAGGGCTAAAATAGGCTTTGCCTGCTGCCCAATCCCATTCACTTTTTTGTGAATAAAATTTTGTATAAATAAAAAACCCAGAACGTTAACTTCGCTAATCTCACCGTAAAGGAAACAACAAAAACATGCGACGAACCCACACTCTTCAAAAGAAATGAAAACACCTCAGTGCGTTTTCATTAATCTTGGGAAATTTGAGATTTAACAGAATTTTTTTGGTTTAATCTCTGGGAAATTATAAAACCTTGTCATATATGGAATCTATCAGGTCGGAGGGGAAAAATCGGGGATTACTTTGCATCGGATATGATTTGAACTGCAAATAAATATAAGCAAGCATATAGACTCCCTCACCCCCCCCCCCCATATCATTTCATTTCATTTCATTATATTCATGTATTTGTATCTAATTCACATCGTTTAATTAAGGGTAGTCGGAGAAGTATTCTTTATAACTTTGTTGGCACGGAAGCGTGATTTCAAGTTACAACGTTCATCTGGTCAGCATTTTATCAGCGGAAATATCCTATTGTGAAACTGCCGGAATTTTGGCATGATATAAAAATTTAACTGGACCATGCTCAAGTGCATTCTTGTTTCACAACCCTATCATTATAATTCTACTATTATCAGAAGCTAGGATGCTACCAAGTGTTTTTTTTTTTAACCTTAAAAATCCCGAGTTTCGAGAGTAAGCCTGTGTTATATGTATTTGTAAGACACTCAATTTTACAAAAGATAAAGGTGAATGCCTTCCTAGACCGGAGTAAGTAGCGCAGGAACATATATCTTCTTCAGTTACCGGGATGACACCTTTAGTTTCACGGTAATCTGAATCGACGCACATTAAAGTGGTAAAGAAGACACCGTATCAACTGGCGCAAAACGTTTTCTTTGTAGTGCCTATATAGAAGTAGGTCTGCCGAAAACAAAACACTATTCGAGTAACAAAAATTAATGCACTCGTTTTATTTATGTTAATACAAGCGTATCTTAATTCAGAACTTTCGATATTTAACAGTATTAAGAAAGGGCAGGGTGCTTAAGGAGCAGTCTATTCTAGAAACAAATTAACAATCATGGCAGAAATGGTATGACGCCAGATTAGTTGCATAATAATTCGGTATTTATCATTCATTTAAAAGTCTTATCTCGATCTGAAGGTCTTTCCAGACTAACTCCCTTCGCACCATGGATATTCCGTATAGTGAGTCTTTTTATTATCTCCAATCTTTAAAAGTTGATTTTCTTCAAGTGTTTGCTTTAATCTGAAAACATAACACTTAATGCGAGAGTGTCCATTCAGAAAAGCCCAATCCGAGAGCCCGGTTTCTTGATAGTTGTGGGGCTATCAATTCAAGTACTAAGTTTACAAGCATTCTTAGCAGAAAACAGAATTATGGTATGCCAGTTCTGCAGGTTCACAAAATAACAAATTAAAAAATATGCTATTTATAAGAACTACACGAGAATTGGCTTAATATCATGCTTTTTTTTTAGAAGTGCAGATAATCCAGATATATGCGGTTTCAACCACTTGTGAAAAGTAGAATACAAAAGTTGTGGACACAAAGTACCTACACTAACTACAAAGTGTAGCAGGAAAATATACTCCAGCTTCGGTGAAAAGTTAACTCAACAGGAAATTCATGAATAATAATGCTTTCTAAAGAAATGTTATGATAAACTGACCAAGTCATTTCTTAGTATTCATCGACTTTTTTGCGGGTGGTTTAAATTATACCATTTCCTTAAAATATATTGGTAAAAAGCCAAACTAAACAAATGCACAGTCGAGTACCATATTTTCCGATAAAAATGAGGTCAGAGGGGTGTGACAAGTCAATCTATGTATCATTTTAAGGTTTTTATGGCACACATATCAATAAAAGTTTGAGAGAACTTTAAACAAATTGAACATAGCCTTTGTTTTGTTAGTGAATAGTTAATCTGTTTATGGGTGGTCGTTATGTTCTTCTTCCTGCTTTTAATATGTCCCCTAGACATGTCTATACATTGACAAGGTGCGACAGGTTTCAATCACTTTCTCTGATTACATCGAATTATTCAATGGAAAGCACCACGGACATGAGCAGAAAAGAATAAAAAGCACAATTTGAAACTTTGCAGAGCATCTCAAAGAGAGGCCATTTTATAGTAATCAATACAGAATTCCATCAAAGTGGTACAAACATGATTGTGATTGAAGAAGCACCGGGAATGAGGAATGCGGCACTACAGCGTGACGGACATTCCTCACATAGAAAGGTAGCCGAGCATGGCACATGGCATGAAATCTTCACTGTGTTTTCGGCACGCACCTAATTAACAGCAAAGTTAATGTACATCATGTACTACATGTTTTTAAATTAAAGCTTAGCTTCTGAAACAGATTATTTAAAAGAAAAAAAACAGCAAATAAAACATAAACATTGTCTTGACTTTGCATGATCCCCAGTGTGGCCTTGAATACGCCGGTATGTTGCACGATAGGAGTGTCTTACCTGTAAAACACCTGTCCTAAATGCTTTAGGTAATCCCAAAAGTTCTCCTTGTGTGTTTTTGTGAAGATTCACCGATAGTAACAAATTATGACGCTACGATAGTACTGTAGTTACTATATATCCAATAGTGGTCAATGAACTAATGAGATACGTAGTGCCTTAATAGAGTAACATTTCCTTATTTGGAAACTAGAGGGCGCTCTTGAAATAATATGGTGGTCTATACGGATACAAACTTGATGCTAAATTGCCGCCATGCTATAATTTTTTTTTTACTTGTCACCGCTATTTTGAATTTGAAATGCCGTACAAAAGCATTTGGAAATTTTAAATTTCTGCCAAAAAGATACATTATATATCTCTACAAGGAAGGTAACTCTAACATGTGCCCATTTACTTGCAGGTGTAAAACACATGCATTTACTCCTGGTGTCATGTTGACTGGCGTTTTTCATACAAATCATTAGGCCATTATTTTCAAGATTGTTCAAGGATTTTTACGTTCGGCCGATCATGACAAGGAGCACACGGCGGGTGGGACCGATTGACAGATGATGCTTACTCCTCCATGGTACCCGATCCCACCTCTGATGTTTTTTAGAGGTCCGTGTTTGCTATGCTCTCAATTGCAATTAGTATTGTTTCAATGGACTTTTGATTTGATTACTGTTCATTATCTTCATATTTCATGCATTTGGAAATTTTGTGTAAGTAAGTATTAAGTTTGCAATAGGCCCGTATAACGCGGGGGAAGGGGGAGGGGGCGCCCCCTTTTTTCTGAGTATAGTAATTTGCTATTGTAAATTGTCCTGTAGATGCTGGTTGCCCCCCCTCCCCCCACACTTTTTGTAGTTGTAAGATTGAGCACCAGTCTGATTAAATCAAACCTCCACTAGCTCCTTTTTATTTTGATTGTCGCTTCACGCTACAATCAAAATAAAAAGGAGCTAGTGAAGGTTTGATTTTAATCAGACTGGTTGAGCACTGGTAAATTCCAGTATTTGGGTAGTAAATTAGGTTTCTTCTTCTTATTTTTCCTTGTCAGATAATTTTGAGAAAGTTTGTCCCCCCCCCCCACTTTTGGTTAGTTTAATTTTTTTTTGCTTGTCAGATTTTTTCTAAGCATTCGGTTAATATTTGGCAGTGTGTGTGCAAGGGGGGGGGGGTTCTAATTTTCCTTCAACTTCATTTTTGTATGAACATGTACCGAGAATATCTATTTCTTTATCTGTCCTTGTAATTCCCCTTCTCTTACTACATTTATAAAAGAATAATACATTCTTTACTGGATTTCTGAGATTGATCACTGTTCGTTATCTTCAACCTTTCCATTTGAAACCACTGATACAAAAGAAGGTTGCTGCCCTTTCTAATATATGAAATGTTGCAAATTTTAAAGTTGCATAATGAGTCAAAACCATGTGTTTTTTTTTAATAAAATTGTATCACAAAGCAAAAGATTTCTGTGAAATATGAATAAAGCGAAGTTCTGACTACTCAACTGCACTGTAAAGCAAGAAAAAAACTGCAAAAAATAAGTGCCGGAAAAACAAATGTTGTATCTATCCCTTTGTTTTTATCGTTAATGTCAACAATGTAAAGGTCACGCGTCCTTTATTTTTAGCGTGAAACTTGTAAACAGCATTGAATTGGGGCAAACAGAAGTAAGGAATAAGTTATGATCATCTTTTTTGAAGATTGTATCAAAATTCTCAGTTATCCGACATTTATATTTATGGAATTGAAACCATGGTAAATTCTTCAACTTTTCAGCGCATGCGTATAATAAAGAGGAAGATTTGTGATGGGTTATACAAAGATTTTTTTACTTTTATTTTTCTCCATGAAATTAAAATTTTTTAGGTTCTGAAACCTGTAATTTTCTGAAACCTAATATCTTCAAGAACTGAACAAAATTTGCATGTGTCATGCAAAAATTCTACTGTTGTCAATTTTCTCGTTTGTCCGTCACAGTGTCACTTTAATAGAAAATTTCATTATCAATTTTACTATGCGTTCACATGGCTGTAGATTTACTCAAATGGAAAAGTAAGTTTGCACATAGTCTGACTAGATCTAAATTTTGCACTAGGAGTAAAACTACTCATGTGCATTCCTCCCCCCCTTTCACATCATGTGCGCAAACGTACACCAGGCTGCATTTGCACATTTGAAAAACCAAATGCACAAAGTTTGTCTGCCTCTTCCCCAGGATTAATATTTAGGTCAAGAAGTTAAAAAAACGATATGATGCATTCTTCAATAATTTACTCAGCCTCGCTTTCCATGGGACATGAATCCTCAACAAATGGGACATAAATTTCTTCGCTTAATAAAATCATTCAAATAAATTGCATCCAATTAAATGTCTCAGAGAAAATGGATCTCCTAACATAGTACATAATTGTACACATTCTAAAAGTATGACCCAATATTTACATCCAATGAATATTATTTCCTTTATTTCTTATGAAAACCATTGTCGTTTTTCAATCAGGAAACACCACTAAGCAAGCCACCTGCATTGAGCAACGGCTCTTCCATCGATTATGCATACATTGATATATACACATCTATAATACAATATTTAACATATTTAACTTTACTTTAAATGTTTTAACTATCAACTATAAAAATGTCTTCCTTTTGTGTTAGTACAGGAATTAATGTCGCAGCTACTGCAGAAAACAAAATGTGTTTGTGAAACACTGGTGTCTCCGTATGGCACCTAGCTTATGGCGAAGGTGAAAGTTTCTCAAATGCAAGTAAACTCCAAGGTCAAGAGATAAAAAATGTCGGTACCCATAGAAAGGTCTTGTCTCAAGGAATATACCTATGAAATATGAAAGCCCTAGCTCTAACTAATAAAAGTTATGGTCATGGTTAAAGTTTTTCAAAAGTAGGTCAAACTCCAAGGTCAAGGTCATTTGGTCAAAATTGTTGGTACCCAAGGGAAGGTCTTGTCACAAGAATTAATTAAATATAAATATGAAATATGAGAGCCCTAGCATCGACTGCTCAAAAGTTATGGCCAAGATTTAGTTTTTCAAAAGTTGGTACCCAAAGTTCGAGGTCAACGGGTCAAAATTGCTGGTATCCAAGGGAAGATCTTGTACAAGGAATACACATGTGAAATATGAATGCCTTAATACTAACTGTTCAAAAGTTATGGCCAAGATTAAAGTTTTTCAAAAGTGGGTCAAACTACAAGGTCAATGTGAAAAGGTCAAAAATATTTAAATCCAAGGAAAGGTCTTCTCACTAGAAATATATAAGTGAAATATGAATGCCCTTATATTAACTGTTAAAAAGTTATGGCCAAGGTTAAATTTTTCAAAAGTGGGTCAAACTCCAAGGTCAAGGTCAAAATATTTATTCCCAAGGAAAGGACTTCTCACTAGGAATACAATTGTGAATTATAAAACCTGTAGCACCAACCAATCAAAAGTTATGGCCACGGTTTAAAATTTATAAAAGTGGGCCAAACTCTTTGATCAAGGTCAAAAATATTAATACCCATGGAAAGGTCTTGTCACGATGAATACAAATGTGAAATATGAAAGCCCTAGCTTCAACTATATATATTCAGAAGTTATGTCCAAGGTTAAAGTTAGGTAAATTTTTGCAAAATTGGGTCAAACTACAAGGTCAAGAAGTCAAATAGGTTTGAACATAAAAAATTAAGAAATTTAAAAATTATTTATATTTTTTTCAAGAAGAAAATTGCTATAACTGACTGGCATATTGTCTGTAAAATATCACATATATAGGGTCATTCACCATCAGACATTCCTCTGGGTTTACAGAACTATATCGTTGTTAAATCAACAGAATAATTCACCGACTTTCTGATAAGTTATACACACAAACGTGTAATTATTTACTTAGAAGATTTAACAAGTGATTTGAGGTAATGTTGCAACAAGTGATTTGAGGTAATGTTGCCTGTGCTATAAATGCACATTTTTGAAGTTGTGAAGCCCTGCCCAAAAGAATTTACAAAATCAAATTCTACAAAAAAGATGAAAACCTAATGTAAATAGAACCCCAATCATTTTATATTAAACTGTAAAAGATTTTCATCTACGGTACTAAATTAAAAAATTAGTTCTTCGAACTTTATTTGTTGTTTTGTGGATGATGTCTTAAAGAATCACGTCAACCAGTTGCAGTAACTGAAAACGTGCACGTGACCTGTTGCGTTTCCAACCCAGAGTTTGCCATCACGATCTAACCCTAACGAACACGGTCGTTCTATTCCGCAATCAGTGTCAACTAGGAACTGAGAAAATTGTCCATTAGTGTCCAGCAAGGAAGCTCTTGTCACAATGAATACACACATGTGAAATATGAAAGCCATAGCTCCAACCAATAAAAAGTTATGGGCAATGTTAAAATTTTTGCGGACAATCAAATTTTTTTTCGAGTATCCTATTTCTTTAGATAAGAATAAAATCTAAGAAAGACACCATAGTGGATTACAGCGGACAGAAATGAGTCATCCGAGTGACACAGGTGACCTTAAAACAAAAGGCCCATCACTAGGACAACAATGCTGTCTCTCTTCTGTACTTTTTGTGGCCCCAGGCTAACGGCCAAATGCATTCATAATTCCACATCTCTATTTATTTTTACAATTAATTCTGCTTCTGTATTCTCCAGATTCTGTATATTCCTATTGAGAATGAAAACCTCGCTTAACACCTGGGATCATGTTTTGAAATAAATCAATCCAATAAGACTGCAAACCCATTTTAATGAATATATAAATTTCAGCATTATTTATTGCTTGAAAAAGCATTTTTTAACAAGATTTCTCCCTACATTCTTCCTTGTAAAAGTTTAATGTCATATTTAGTCATATTTACTCCTAGTGTATTTTCAGTCCAAATGAACAACAAGGACAAACGTGAATCTAATCTGAATCTAATCTGAACATGTGTCATGTTGTAAATTTTGAATTTACCGAGTGGCAGTAAATACAAAATTTACAACATGATACATGAAATGACTATGTACAGCCTTAATGCTAATGCAAAAGAGTTTTTTTTTTCTTTTTTCAAAATTCTCTCAACCCCACAAGTTTGGTCCCATGCTAACCTTTTAGGCTCAGGAGTCATGATATAAATAAAATTAGCAAATTTAACCCTTATCGTGGCCCCACACTTGCAGGAGAGGTCATGTATAAATATAACATTATTACATATTAAAGTCAGGGGCGCAGCTTGACTTTAAATTCTAGTGAGGCAAAACCATACATGTAGCAGCAAGAGGTCTGGGGTCGCAACAGGTTCCAGCAGGTGTCATGGGAGGGGGGGGGGCGGCACTCCGACAGAAATTGGAGTTGAGGTTTTTAAAATGCAATGAAATTTCATTTGCTGTACTGGTTTCTTTATTTAAAACTTCAGCATGATACTACATGTTGTAAAAGAATGTAAAAGAGTGAATAAATATGTACACTAGAACTTTTGAAACATTTAAAGGTGAAAGCGCATCTTATTTTAAAACTTTGCTTTTATTTCTTTAAAACTTCAATTCAACATTATAGAACTGCTTAAAATGTTAAAAGAAATGCGATTAATTTTACGTATTATCTTCAATGTGTTGTTGATTATGGGAACGGGTGGTGGTGGTGAAAAATCTAGTGAGGCAGTTGCCTCATTGCCACAATGGAAGCAACGCCCCTGAAAGTATATCATTGAGGGAGTCAGTAAGATCCCAGTTAACAAAGAGCAAGCGTATTTCCCGAGGTTCGCCGAGTGAAATAGGCTTGCTCTTTGAAAATTGGAATCTTGATGACTTCATCAATGATCTACTTTAACTTTTTTTAATACCAATACAAAAATTAGACCAGTTTAAACTTCTAACTGTAATCATGTATTGTACACAGTGCCATTATAAGGTGAAATGCGAAATGGAAATATTTATCACCCAGAATACAGATAAAATAAACGAATAGATTTAATAGAAAGGCGTTGTATTCAAAATGGTCAGTATGTTTGCAAAGCAATATTCTGTTTATATAAACACAATTTTCACTGATCTGTCTCTCACTACACAATTTTTCTGACTTATATAAACATAAAAAGTAAAAAATACATGCTCTGAAGTTCTTTTCAGGTAACATTCACTCCCCATTTTCACACAACTGGCGAATATATTGACGAATACAAACAAATTATCAAGGAATATAAAACAATTTTGTAGTATATATATATATATATATATATATATATATATATATATATATATATATATATATATATATATATATATATATATATATATATATATATATCAATGCCATGCAATAATTCACCATTTTATTCTTCATTAAAAAAGATTAAACAATATTTTTATTTTTCGATATATATTTGATTTATCAATTCTGTAATATGGAAATGAACTTATTGAAAAGAAATCACAATCTGAAACACACAATGACAGAGGATAATGAGTATGGATGGCAGATACATTCTTGAATAAGATAATGTAATTGAAAGCATCACAACAAAAGCTCACAATATAATGTTTATGAAAACTTGATAAATTCTGGGAAATTGCATGTTTTATGAAAACTTGTACGTACAATTAATTCTGGGAAATTGCATGTTTTATGAAAACTTGTACGTACAATTAATTCTGGGAAATTGCATGTTTTATGAAAACTTGTACGTACAATTAATTCTGGGAAATTGCATGTTTTATGAAAACTTGTACGTACGTACTAGTATGATTACAATGTTTTGTGCCGTGTACTATATACTGCAACAAGCTATATATACGTATATAGAGATTAGTTAGTTGTACATACAAGCGAATATATATATCTTCTATTGTACATTTATATATATAGTAATCACACTTTGTGCCAAAACAATTGCTACATGTATTTCAAATAATTCATAATGTACTACAAATGCCGTTATCATCAAACATAACATTTATAATTCCATTACATGGCCATAGAAACCGGGGGGGGGGCACGGGGGCTGTGCCCCCCCCCCATAATTTTGCCGATATATAGAATACTATAGAAAACATAACTACTTAATGCTTGTGCCCCCTCAATAATAACGTCTGATGACCTTTTTTTTTGTCAAGGAATTTTGGTAGTTGATAGTGCCCCCCCCCCAACTGAAAATGTATGGTTGTGCCCCCTCAAAGTGAAATTGCTTCCTACGGGCCTGCATTATGATTAGCTCACATAATACTTGTAAGACAGACATTAAAATGTTTTTTCCCCACTGTAATCCTGGCAAGTTAATGGTAACAAAAGTTAATGGTATCGACCTTCCGCCACTACTCTACTGTTGACCGTGTCATCATTTATTATACTTTTGTATATCAACATGTATTTCATTTGGAGAAAAATGCAGATGAAGAGCTATTTATCAGGATGGAACAATTATGCTTTATGTTTCATGAAAGTACATGTAATGCCTATACCCCTTAGCATCTCTGTGTGATAGGTACTGAATCAGACCTAAAACTATATGGCCTCTATGTCGAAGTATATACGGAGCATGAATTATACTCACTGGCGGATTTAGAGGGGGGGCCCAGGAGACCCCGGGCCCCCTTTTGTGTCCCAAATATACAAAATATTTAATAATTCTTGTGTGGCTGTGGGCCCCTACCCCGACCCCAAACTGGTCGGGCCCCCCTTTTCAAGATTCCTGGATCCGCCACTGATACTGTATTCTAAATTACTCCCGACTCTGCGTGGTAAATAAAATAATATAGATGGTTAATGTACTTAACATTAATATTTATCTGAGTAATTCTGTCTTTTATAAGAATTCCGGCAATAGATTTCTCAAGTATACGTGTTTACATGATACTACTATGGCCCATTATTAAACACTTAGCAGTTAGTAGTTAATTTTTTTTAAATATACCGGTATTTCCTTTAAAATCCTCTGAATTTCTTATTGTAGTCCTATCTACTTCACTTTAATGACCAGCCCCTGGCCCCGCGATAACGTTATACGTGTAAGGTCCACTTCCGTGTTAACTTGGTAATTAGACATGGCGTTAACGACAACCTCTCCTCTTTTACTGCCAGCACTCTTACTAAGGTCCACATCATTAGCGTACAGATGTCCGAAGTTCAGGACCACCAGGTACCTGTCTTGTCCTGGCTGGGTCCTGATGTAGGACAGAATTTTCTTCGGATTTTCGTCGACGTCATCCACGTCCACAAAAGTCAGATTACTGTACGTAAAAGACGACTTCTGACGTAGCTCAGCCAGTTGTTTGTAAACCTTGAGGTGAGAATATTTAGCTGATTCCTGATTCTGTAACGAAGTAATATAGAAGGTATCAAAGGCATTGAATTTTTTTTGTCGTAAAGAATATATGCTTATTTAAAAAAAAAATACTAGTAAATAAATGCATAGGGCATGACAGATAGCCTTGTTTCACTTGGACTTGGGTAAAAATATTTGGTTCAATAGTGTCTTATCCCCTATCAATTGTTTGCGGAATAGGAGATATGTACTACTGCATTGTACTTGTAAAACATTTAATATTATATTTTTATCTGAAGGAATCAAAATCTTTCACAAAATTTGCATAAATTGGTCACACATATCTCTAGAGTCATCTCATTGCCGTTGTTAATTGTTTGGAATAACACATGCTGTGTTCATTATACCAATTTTTCATGAAAAGAAAAGGTGTCTTTAAATTGATTCAATTGCTAAGTAATAATAATGTTAACGATCTTTTAAATTTTGGTAAATACTACCACATTTTTAAGAAAAAATAATATTGATATTAAACACTATTTTCTATCATGTACTTTTACATTTACACACACTCTCTCTGTATATTTTTTTTTCTTAATTACATGTATTTGTTATTCTGATGAGCCATTTGATACTTGATACTTGAATAAAACTGCAGTCATTAAAACGCAGGAACACCAGTTATAAAATTGTTGGTGAGATAACCGTTCGGTGTAAGACATTACAGAAAGTATAGTGAATGATTACAGATATTGTATAGTAGTTCCTTACCTTAACATTTATGACTTTGTAGTTACTGTTGACATGTAACCAGGGGGTTCCATTTGAAAACCCAGCATTGAAAGTGTCATTCCACTGCATCGGGGAACGCTCTGGATCTCGTGTGTGTTCCAGGTATAAAGTCTGTTATGCAAAAATAAAATGCCATGAAGTATAGAGGAAGCTCTTAATCTCTGTTCTGTTGAGTTTCTAATGAATCAAATCGGTTACTGTACACCCCCACCCCAAAAGAAAAATTAATTAAACTGTACTGCCCCAACATACCCGGGAAAGCCCCGGATGTTGGCTTGTAACAGAAACTATTATAATAGAAACCAGAAGTAGAAATGTCATGAACATTGAAAGTACTTCAAATACACCAAGCAAAGTCACTCATGGTTTAAAAAAGAAAAAATCTGTTTCCTCTTACATTTGCTCTCTCTTTTGTTACTAATTATTGTGGCACATTGAATATTATATAAATACTGCATGTAGTTGAGTATAGCATTGAAAATTGTCACCGCAAGAAAACCGTCGGTTGACAATAGTTTTCTTGGGGTGAACATTTTCAATGTTACACTCAACTACATGCATTATTTATTATATTATACTGAATTTTTATACAAATACATATTACAGTGAACCTTGTGCGCATAAATTCTGCGCACTCAATATTTTTTGGAATATCACCCGTCGTCGAGCAATGTCGACAGTTGCTATGCTGGAGGCGTGGCTTCATTATTCAGCGGGTAATAGTGTTTTTTAACAAAAGTTTCTCGACGAATCAGATTCAACTTATTTACATGAAAGTATAATGTGATTTCTTACCTCAAGTAACTCTGTGAATACTAAATTCCGTCAGGTGACTTGTAAGATGGCATGCGCATATTTTGTAAATAGTGTAATTGTGCCATACATAATAGAGAGAGAGAGAGAGAGAGAGAGAGAGAGAGAGAGAGTAATCACGTATTTTTTTATTTTTATTTTTATACATGTCATGTATTTATGCTTGTCTAATTTTAGACCCATTCTTACCATGTTAGCTCCACCTCAAAGCAGTAAGGACAAAAAAAACCCCATAGATTTATTTTATTGTATCACAGTCTTAAATCATTTTAACACTTGAATTTTGTGCCAAATTGACAGGATTCTTTGACAAATATACAAAAGTGAAATTAGTTTAAGATATGTAAAGCAACAGGAGCGACGTACAAAAATACCAATATCCCGGCATTAATTGCAGTCATCCTTTTATGTTACTATGTCATGTTGTAAATTTTGAATTTACCGGGTGGCAGGAAACAGGTAAATACCAAATTAGTTGTCATGTTTGTAAATTTCTCTGCCACCCGGGAAATTCAAAATCAACAACATGGAAACTCGGAAAGTTATATTTCAACGAAGTACTTTATACTTGCTGTAATTCGATGGAATGTTACTTTTTTATGCTGATAAACTAATAAAATTTTGTTCCTTGTTCCTTTAAAATACTGTTTTGCTTTAAGGATAAAGAAACATTCGAGCTTACTGCTTTTTGTAGTGTAAAGCTTCAAGGAAATTAAGTAATTCTACTTCTTGTAATCAGAATGATAAAAACCTCATTGAAGTTGAGACCAGCAGGGTCCTTGGTTTCACTGTACGTGTAAAAGGTGTCCCTCATTCCTATTTCCTCCCCGTAGTAGGACGTGGGGGTCCCAGGCAGGGTCAGCAGTAACATGTTAAACGCGTCTATCGTCTCTGGACCGAACTTATTGGCCACTCTGTGGTTGTCATGATTCCCAATCTTAAATTATAAATAAATAACAAAAGTATAACTACTCAACAAATTTAAAATAACTAATGCATTACAACTCAACAAATAAATAACAAAAGTATAACTACTCAACAAATAAAAAAAAAAAGAAGAACTACTCAACAAATAAAAAAAAGTATAACTACTCAACAAAAAATAAACAAAGTATTACTATACAACAAATAAACAAACCAAAGTATAACTACTCAACAAGTAAACAAACCAAAGTATAACCTGTCAACAAATAAATAACCAAAGTACATGTATAACTTTCAACAAATAAACAAACCAATGTATAACTACTCAACAAATAAATAACCAATGTATAACTATACTCAACAAACAAACAAATCAAGGTATACCTACTCAACAAATAAATAACTAATGTAAAACTACTCAAGAAATTAATAACCAATGCATTACTACTCAACAAATAAATAACCAAAGAATTACTACTCAACAAATAAATAACCAAAGTACAATAACTACTCATCAAATAAACAACCCAAAGTATAACTACTCAACAAATAAATAGCAAAGATCATAACTATCTGATTCCTCGAGATCTCTAAAATTCAGTCGGTAAATATTGAAACATTGTGCAAACCACATAGTTGGGCCAGTAGCTAGGTTTCAGGTCCGCCATTGATTCCTTGATTACAGATTTCATGCACTGTGCATCACAGCTTGCATTAAGATATTGAATCAGGGCAAAGTTAAATGGAATGGAACCAGATTCGTAGTACTTGTTTCTGACATCATGGCTAATACCGTAAGACTCAGCTATCAGAAATCTGCAAAATAAAAAAAAGAAAAATGAAGAACTGACTTACTAGCAGAGAGACAGACAGACGGAGTGATAAGGGATTCAGTTAATTAAGAGATACTGATTTTTGAGAGTATTTAATTGAGAAATAGGCGCATTTGAAAGATATAGATAAGCTGGTTATCATCTTTTTTATTAATCATAAGCCATGATTGTTTTAATTTATGAGAAGAAAAACTACATCCATAATTCTTAGCTGTTACTTTTTTATGGTTATCTATATGTTCATACGACCATACTTGTCACTGCCGTATTCCTCTAATACTTTTCGCCAAGCTTTCAGAATTCCATAAATATCCTCAAAGTTTGTTGTTAGATTGTGATTGTCCTCTTCATTCCAAGCAAATGGGTCCTAAAGATTACGATATTTATCACACTATTAGGTATCAAACACACACACACACACACTCTCACTCACGCACAGACAAACAAACAAATAGACCAAAAAAAAAAAAAACCGAAACAAACAAGCAAAACAAAGAAGATTTTATAAACAAACAAAACATCCCCAAACATGTACAGGTTATATACATTGTGTATATATATATATATATATATATATATATATATATATATATATATATATATATATATATATATATATATATAGTAAAATGTAGTCCTACACTCAACCCTGTTTCGTTCTGCGTCACATTCTTGGATTCAAACATAAACTTTAAGGCGTCTGCTCGGAATCCATCCACCCCTTTCTGTAACCAGAACCTCATCACATTCTGTCAAAATACAGATCAAGATTTATCATTAATCTGACCTTCTTAGAATAGAACATTGAAAAGGCAACTTACACGTACATGCTTAGCATTTTCATTATTGTAAGGGGTGATCTACTCCAGATTAACTTTGTTTAATTTACAAAAGACTATGAAAAAAAAATGCAAAGTACTATTAGGACTTTTTCATATATTTTTTTTTAATTAAAATTGTGGCATAAACAAATGACACAAAAGCTACAATGTGACTTTTGATTTTGTTTGGTAAATTCCAAATTTACAAAAATAAACATGTTTTATTTTTAAAAATTGTTTTTTAGACTAAGAATCAGCATGCTACGTGTATATCTGTTTCATTTAACAAGTGCATATGTTAATACCTTGATTTATACAATGACATTTTTATTTAGATGCTATTAAAAATCAATTAGGCCTACTTTCATAATTTATTCTTTCTTTGTTAAGTAATTTTAAAAGCGTACGTCTTTTGGAGATTTTGAATACTAGAATAAATAAGTAAACCAAGAGCTACAATTTGTACATACTGGCTTCCCTTTATATGCTTTTTGTGTTGACTGTCTTGCTGTTCTGCATTTTCGCCAAAAATTGAAATAAAACGTAGATTCATACTCGTTTAATTTACATATACTGTGCATGTCATGTGATGTTATACGTTTTTCGATCGTATTTTGTCATTAATATTAATGATTGATTGAATGATTGTATATTGTTTAACGCCGAGTCGGCAATATTAGCCATATTTTGGCGGAAATGACAATAACCTTTAGTTCCTCCTTCACTTCTTCATTTCTCAGATTGAGGTCAGGCTGGGAATCTAAGAAGGCGTGGTAGTAAAACTTTTGTCTTATTCCACTCCACTTCCAGGCGGATCCACCAAATACACTCAACTTATAAATAGTATAAAATACTTATGTTCACTAAGATCATCAAAATACACTCAATTATTTAATAAGTCTTACAAATTACTTATCAATACTATTTTCAAATAAATAACTCAGCTAATGAAAAAAATAATACAGTTATCTCAACACAAGTTTATTATTTTTTATGTATAAATTCTTATTTTCCAGTATTATATCTTAAATAGCTGAAGCAATATGGAGACAGTTTACCCAGTTATTTGGGGGTCGTTTGCCCCCTGTGGCTTCACATCCTGAGGAACAGTTTAAGCCGTCATTCCACACGTAATAGTCCTTGTACTTGGCATCGCCCCGCTCACTGAGGTAAAACCACTTACTATCGTTACTGGTGTGGTTAGGGACAAAATCCAGTATTACACGCAAATCTAAAATAATGAAAATTCTTACAACTGATGCTGTTTGAGAGGAGTACCATTTGGATGGGTTAAAAATTCCTAACCCTTCTCGAATTCATTGTCTATAATAAAGGAACAAAATACCTAGCAACATCAGAGATTAATTATATATTTTTGTTCCAAAAGATTAAAGAAGGTACGATTGCACACCTCCCCTTCTGACCGCCTTTAAAAAGAAGACTGTTCTCTAAGTATATTTTGTTTTGTCGATCTTCTGCTTCAGAATGGACAGGAAATGGAGTAAAGTTGACGGTATATCCCTTTATTACTCAATCGTCGAATAGTGTTTATTGACATACCATGCAGCACAAATAAAGCAAATTTGTTTGCTATCGGAGAGGGATGACCAAGAAAAATAGTGGGTTATTGGCGAGACTGGGGAATCGGGCGGGAAAAATACACAAAGCAGGCGACGAGGTCAAACAATCTTGGTTTGGATGCTGGGATCTGATTGGTCAATTTGAGGTTGCTGTTTGTAGGTGTGCAGAGGGAATGAGATCAAGCGTTTCGTGTGTAAGATACGCAATGTGATTGGACAAATCTTGGTTGTTGTATGGGTGTTCATTGGTTCTGCGTTTCGTAAGCAGAGGTCCGCTGCACCGCGTGGTACATGTACGTATATGTTGGTAGCGTGAGGTGAGTTTGTTGAATTCTTGCTTTTATTATTTAATAGCATTATTTTAGAGTTTTACACCGAGATTTATGAAACGTCACAGCTGCTGCCTTATCTGGTCTGTTTTATGCTTAGTTTGTGCTTTTGCAATAGATGTCTCCTGTAGGTATCTATAGATTAGGTATGTCAATTAAAAATGAAACTCCCGATTCTAGTGGGTGCCTCGCTGTTGTGGAGGCAGCTTTTTAACAGTGAAATCAACTATAGGTAAATATGTTTGTACAAGTAGTTTTAATTTATCTTTGAAATGCTTGAATGTTTTTAATTTATTGATAAGTAACATGCTAGTGATTTTTAAAGTTTTTTTTTTTTTTTTTGATAAAAATTGAATGGAAACATTGAATCAAACTGACGAGTTCTGTGAACATTGTCACATATATGGCGGACGTGATGATCCCTACATTGTAATTGGTATCTACATACCACTAATCAGAAGCTCGTCAAAACAGCGGGAATTTGCCACCCGCTGGGATTGACCATTAGATCAGTGCATAAAATGATACCTCGTCTAAAGGATATCAACCTATTAAATGTAACGGGGCTGAGATATGGAACGCCATAGCTGCCTTATGTGGTTATTTCATGAGATGATGGTGCTTTATTATGTTATGCTGTGGTTATTTCATGTGAAGATGGTGCTTTATTATGTTATGCTGTGGTTATTTCATGTGAAGATGGTGCTTTATTATGTTATGCTGTGGTTATTTCATGTGAAGATGGTGCTATATTATGTTATGCTGTGGATATTTCATGTGAAGGTGGTACTTTATTATTTTTTCTGCTGTGGTTATTTCATGTGAAGGTGGTTTTTTATGTGAAGGTGGTTTTTCATGTGAAGGTGGTTTTTCATGTGATGGTGGTTTTTCCATGTGAAGGTGGTTTTTTATGTGATGGTGAATTTTCATGTGAAGGTGGTTTTTCATATGATGGTGGTTTTCTCATGTGAAAGTGGTTTTTCAAGTGTTGGTGGTTTTTTTTTTATGTGAAGGTGGTTTTTTTTTATATTTAATGTGATGGTGGTCACTCGGAACTCTAATATTTTTGAAGACTGAATTTAACTGCTATTATCTTGGAATTTTGAAAGTGAAACAAATAGTCAATGTAATTAAAATCATTTTAATGCACCATTGCTAGTTCCTCTTTTTTCCATCTAGGCACTTGGGTTCAAAATGGTGTATTTTGTGTATTATGATTTTTTGTAAGTGTGTCTGAATACACTCAAAAACATAAAAATAAAAAAAAAATCACTGAAATTAGCACGTTTAAAAAGTGTCATATTAGTCTATATAGTAAGAGTGTAGGTACAACAGTTGCCATCCTCGGAAAATCTAGGGAAGTCAGAAACCACGCCAAACTTGTTCTCGTTATTCCGGGATGCCTCTACATTTTACTTGGTTAAAAATCGTCACTTCCATTGCTTTCACTTTCAGTTCTAGGTATCAGGATGTTTTTGTTTACTGCATATTTTATACGGCAAGTTCCAATTGGCAGACGATTGAAAGGCGTTATTCAATCATTTTTAAATGTAGATTTCATCCGAATTCCTGCCCGAAACTGGTAGGAAAAGTGTAGATATTGATAAATTAAAATCAATTATGAACCGAGCCGGGCACGATGTAAAATCGAAGATTGCAACTGTCGTACTTTCACTCTTTTTTTATATAAAGTAATATGACGTTTTAAAAACTTGCTTATTTCAGTGATTTTTTTTTATTCTTAGGTTATCGAGTTAATGCAGACATAGCTAGAAAAAAACATAATACACAAAATACACCATCCTGAAACCAAGCGCCTCTGGAAAAAAGAGGAACTAGCAATGGTGTATTAAAATGATTTAAATTATATTGACTATTTGTTTCACTTTCAAAATTTCAAGATTATAGCAGTTAAACTCGGTGTTAAACTCAGTCTTCAAAAGTATTTTAAAAGAGTTCCGAGTGACCACCATTACATTAAATGTAAAAAAAACACCATCACATGAAAAATCACCTTCACATGAAAAACACCATCACATAAAAAACCACCTTCACATGAAAATTCACCATCACATAAAAAAACCACTTCACATGAAAAACCACCTTCACGTGAAATAACCACAGCATAACATAATAAAGCACCACCTTCACATGAAATAACCACAGCATAACATAATAAAGCACCACCTTCACATGAAATAACCACAGCATAACATAATAAAGCACCACCTTCACATGAAATAACCACAGCATAACATAATAAAGCACCATCTTCTCATGAAATAACCACATAAGGCAGCTATGGCGTTCCATACTGAGAGATAGAGGCAGATAGTATGCAGGGATTAACGGGGGGGGGGGGGGGTCTGGTGTGGCGAGAAAGAGAGGACATGGTGGCAGTGGGTACACAAAATTTTTTAAATACATGAGGACGTTGTGTACATGCATGCATTTGTTGTGCATATGTATACCAGTATAGATGTATGGGGCTTTTTGGAGGCATAGATAATTACTCTTCGCCCATGCAGTGGCCAGTGCATGAATTATCTAAAGCGTTGGTAGGACATGGATTATCATTTGCTTGGATTATAAACTCTAATATATATTCATTATTAAATAAGAACATATAGAAATTGAGCTAATATTATTGAAAATATCTGTTTAAGCATAGATTATTAAGTATAAACTGACAAACAAGAATGAAAAGTGCTGCACAATCACTATATGCAAGTATTTCACTATACACAAAACATCACTCAATTATCTGCTAATTTAGTGTCAGATTTCAGATTATCTTATTAGAAGTAATTTTTGGAACAAGGTCTAAGGCAAGCAAAAATTGATTTAGTTTAATTCCATAAGATGGTGAAAACAACACACATGTTTCTGTCTTTTCGCGATGAAGAGGTAAATATGTATGACTTTATAAGGTAACTATCTTTGATTTGGTTACCCAGCTTCAAATATATATGCTAGTCTTGTCCCTGTTGCAAGGGATCATGGGACAACGCTAATATCCATGCTAGTTTCCTAGCAGCTGGGCTTGCATACTGGAGATCGTAGCTCCACGTACATGTTGAACTATTGTACGTTGTCACTACGATTTTGATACCATTGATAGCTCCCCTAGCGTTTGCATGCCTAATAACGACCCTCCCCCCCCCCCAAAAAAAAATAAAAATAAAAATCGGAAGTGAAAAACTCGACTTTGTGCAAAAAGGATATCCGTGGTTTTCTTTTTTAGCTCACCTGAGCCGAAGGCTCAAGTGAGCTTTTCTGATCACATTTTGTCCGTCGTCCGTCCGTCCGTCTGTCTGTCTGTCTGTCCGTCCGTAAACTTTTCACATTTTTGACTTCTTCTCAAGAACTACTGGGCCAATTTTGACCAAACTTGGTACAAAGCATCCTTGGGTGAAGGGAAATTTAAATTATTAAAATGAAAGCCAAGTCCCCTCACAAGGGGAGATAATCAAGAGAAGACAAAAATAGGGTGGGGTCATTAAAAAATCTTCTTCTCAAGAACCACAGGGCCAGTAAAGCTGAAACTTATATGGAAGCATCCTGGGGTAGTGTAGATTCTAAATTGTTCAAATCATGACCCCCGGGGGTAGGGTGGGGCCACAATGTGGAATCAATATTTTACATAGAAATATATAGGAAAAATCTTTAAAAATCTTCTTCTCAAGAACCACTGGGCCAGAAAAGCTGAAACTTATGTGGAAGCATCCTGGGGTAGTGTAGATTTTAAATTGTTCAAATCATGACCCCCGGGGATAGGGCGGGGCCACAAGAGGGAGTCCAAGTTGTACATTGAAATTAATAAGAAAAATCTTTTAAAAATCTTCTTCTCAAGAACCACTGGGCCAGAAAAGCTGAAACTTATGTGGAAGCATCCTGCGGTAGTGTAGATTCTAAATTGTTCAAATCATGACCCCCGGGGGTAGGGCGGGGCCACAATAGGGAATCCAAGTTTTACATTGAAATATATAAGAAAAATCTTAAAAAATCTTCTCAAGAACCACTGGGCCAGAAAAGCTGAAACTTATATGGAAGCATCCTGGGATAGTGTAGATTCTAAATTGTTCAAATCATGACCACTGGGGTAGGGCGGGGCCATAATAGGGAATCCAAGTTTTACATTGAAATATATAAGAAAAATCTTTAAAAATCTTCTTCTCAAGAACCACTGGGCCAGAAAAGCTGAAACTTATATGGAAGCATTCTGGGGTAGTGTGGATTCTAAATTGTTCAAATCATGATCCCCGGGGGTAGGGCGGGGCCACAATAGGGAATCCAAGTTTTACATTGAAATATATAAGAAAAATCTTAAAAAATCTTCTTCTCAAGAACCACTGGGCCAGAAAAGCTGAAACTTATATGGAAGCATCCTGGGGTAGTGTAGATTCTAAATTGTTCAGATCATGACCCCCGGGGGTAGGGCGGGGCCACAATAGGGAATCCAAGTTTTACATTGAAATATATAAGAAAAATCTTAAAAAATCTTCGTCTCAAGAACCACTGGGCCAGAAAAGCTGAAACTTATATGGAAGCATCCTGGGGTAGTGTAGATTCTAAATTGTTCAGATCATGACCCCCGGGGGTAGGGCGGGGCCACAATAGGGAATCCAAGTTTTACATTGAAATATATAAGAAAAATCTTAAAAAATCTTCTTCTCAAGAACCACTGGGCCAGAAAAGCTGAAACTTATATGGAAGCATCCTGGGGTAGTGTAGATTCTAAATTGTTCAAATCATGACCCCCGAGGGTAGGGCGGGGCCACAATAAGGAATCCAAGTTTTACATTGAAATATATAAGAAAAATCTTTAAAAATCTTCTCAAGAACCACTGGGCCAGAAAAGCTGAAACTTATGTGGAAGCATCCTGGGGTAGTGTAGATTCTACATTGTTCAAATCATGACCACTGGGGGTAGGGCGGGGCCACAATAGGGAATCCAAGTTTTACATTGAAATATATAAGAAAAATCTTAAAAAATCTTCTTCTCAAGAACCACTGGGCCAGAAAAGCTGAAACTTATATGGAAGCATCCTGGGGTAGTGTAGATTCTAAATTGTTCAAATCATGACCCCCGGGGGTAGGGCGGGGCCACAATAAGGAATCCAAGTTTTACATTGAAATACATAAGAAAAATCTTTAAAAAATCTTCTTCTCAAGAACCACTGGGCCAGAAAAGCTGAAACTTATATGGAAGCATCCTGGGGTAGTGTAGATTCTAAGTTGTTCAAATCATGACCCCCGGGGGTAGGGCGGGGCCACAATAAGGAATCCAAGTTTTACATTGAAATACATAAGAAAAATCTTAAAAAATCTTCTTCTCAAGAACCACTGGGCCAGAAAAGCTGAAACTTATATGGAAGCATCCTGGGGTAGTGTGGATTCTAAATTGTTCAAATCATGACCCCCGGGGGTAGGGCGGGGCCACAATAGGGAATCCAAGTTTTACATTGAAATATATAAGAAAAATCTTAAAAAATCTTCTTCTCAAGAACCACTGGGCCAGAAAAGCTGAAACTTATGTGGAAGCATCCTGGGGTAGTGTAGATTCTAAATTGTTCAAATCATGACCACTGGGGTAGGGCGGGGCCATAATAGGGAATCCAAGTTTTACATTGAAATATATAAGAAAAATCTTTAAAAATCTTCTTCTCAAGAACCACTGGGCCAGAAAAGCTGAAAGTTATATGGAAGCATCCTGGGGTAGTGTAGATTCTAAATTGTTCAAATCATGACCCCCGGGGGTAGGGCGGGGCCACAATAGGGAATCCAAGTTTTACATTGAAATATATAAGAAAAATCTTAAAAAATCTTCTTCTCAAGAACCACTGGGCCAGAAAAGCTGAAACTTATATATAGAAGCATCCTGGGGTAGTGTAGAATCTAAATTGTTCAAATCATGACCCCCGGGGGTAGGGTGGGGCCACAATAGGTATATTAAAAGGGGGAAATCTGGTAAAGAACAGCATGGCCAAAGTTACTCAGGTGAGCGATGTGGCCCATGGGCCTCTTGTTTTTTTTTACCGGTATTTTTTTTTTCAATGACAGTTTTCATAATGTTAATTTTTTTTTTTTAGTTTGTTTTGTTATTTTGCTTTTTTCACTTGAAAAAAAGTCAGTTTACTCCAAGTCTCTTCCATTATAAATTGTCGTAACACAGCTTATGTTTTATGTAAGGTATAATATTTATAACATCTTAAAACAAGTTACTTATAAAAGATTGGGAATCCTGGCATTTTGTCAGTGTATACTTGTTTTTTATTTAGATGTATCATTTCTAGCTAGTTTTGTCATTTTTAATGACTTTAAAGGAATTACTTTTTGCCTTTGCTTCCTTCATCAGGTCATCAAAATCCGCCATGTTTCCGAAAATAGGATCCACTTCTGTATAGTTCTGAACATCGTATCCAAAATCACGCATGGGTGACCTGAAGATGGGACTTAGCCACACAGCCCCGACCCCTAGACCCGACACGTAGCCCAAGCGCTCCTTGATTCCTGAAAATGGTCATAAAAAGGTATTTCAATAAAGACATCCATATAACGTTATTTATTCACGAATCACACTGCTGTGGTATTACTTGGTAGTGGTGGGTATTGGTATTAGAAAGATATGCTGTGTCTCAGGACATTCAGATCTACATTGTATCTGACATACATGTACATGTGCACCAGAATTATTGAAAAAGAAATCTTTAAAAAGGCCATCTGATGAAAACACCAAAAACAATTTTAATCAGATTAAATTTGGAAACATCTCCATTTTGTGTAGATTCAAGTTTGTTTAATCCTGACCTTAAGACCCAGGATTAAGGGTCAAAATTTGACCTGGGAATATGTGCAGGAAGTAATCTATACACATCTTCTTTACAAAAATAAGTAAATCAATTTATAAGCATCCCCATGTAGTTTAAATTCAATTTTGTTCAAAGCCCCTCGAGTCTGAGATTTGGACTACGATAGACAGTCAACGTTGTGCAAAGAAGTAATTCGCATGCATAAAATTTGTGTTGGCGCAATGGCGTGTTGTGAACATCGCTCCCGGCGCGTGTTGCTAACGCGCTGGTAGTAGACTTTTGCAAATGGCCTCTTCGGGACAGTATAATAAACCGTCATGTAGACATTAACCGTCCATGTAATATGAACTGAAATGTTGAGAACTTAATTGATACATGTTAGTTGTGTTAATGATTTCGATAATCTCAATTCGTAATCTTTTGACAGGAAGCGAAAGCAGGCGGTTAATGTTGCACATATGCGTCTTGTTGATGAATTTGTTACAGAATTCAAAGAGGGGTTTAAACAATTATTCCTGCAACAGACAAACAAGAGGCCCATGGGCCACATCGCTCACCTGAGTAACTTTGGCCATGCTGTTCATTACCAGACTTCCCCCATTGTAATACCTATTGTGGCCCCGCCCTACCCCCAGGGGCCATGATTTGAACAATTTAGAATCTACACTACCCCAGGATGCTTCCACATAAGTTTCAGTTTTTCTGGTCCAGTGGTTCTTGAGAAGATTTTTAAGGATTTTTCCTGTATATTTCAATGTGAAACTTGGGATTCCCTATTGTGCCCCCCCCCCCCATCCCCGGGGGTCATGATTTGAACAATTTAGAGTGTACACTACTTGAGGATGCTTCCACATAAGTTTCAGCTTTTCTGGCTCAGTAGCTCTTGCCTATATATTTCAATGTAAAACTTGTATTCCCTATTGTGGCCCCGCCCTACCCCCGGGGGTCATGATTTTAACAATTTAGAATCTACACTATCCCAGGATGCTTCCACATAAGTTTCAGCTTTTCTGGCTCAGTGGTTCTTAAGAAGAAGATTTTTCAAGATTTTTCCTATATATTTCAATGTAAAACTTGGATTCCCTATTGTGGCCCCGCCCTACCCCCGGGGGTCATAATTTTAACAATTTAGAATCTACACTACCCCAGGATGCTTCCACATAAGTTTCAGTTTTTCTGGCTCAGTGGTTCTTGAGAAGAAGATTTTTCAAGATTTTTCCTATATTTCAATGTAAAACTTGGATTCCCTATTGTGGCCCCGCCCTACCCCCGGGGGTCATGATTTTAACAATTTAGAATCTACACTATCCCAGGATGCTTCCATATAAGTTTCAGCTTTTCTGGCCCAGTGGTTCTTGAGAAAAAGATTTTTCAAGATTTTTCCTATATATTTCAATGTTAAACTTTGATTCCCTATTGTGGCCCCGCCCTACCCCCGGGGGTCATGATTTTAACAATTTAGAATCTTCACTATCCCAGGATGCTTCCATATAAGTTTCAGCTTTTCTGGCCCAGTGGTTCTTGAGAAGAAGATTTTTTTATGACCCCACCCTATTTTTGTCTTTTCTTGATTATCTCCCCTTCTAAGGGGACTTGGCCCTTTATTTTAACAATTTAAACTCCCCTTCCCCCAAGGATACTTTGTACCAAGTTTGGTTAAAATTGGCCCAGTGGTTCTTGAGAAGAAGTTGAAAATGTGAAAAGTTTACAGACGGACGGACAGACGGACAGACGGACGGACGACGGACAACGGGTGATCAGAAAAGCTCACTTGAGCTTTCAGCTCAGGTGAGCTAAAAAGGTGAGATAATGTGAATTTCCAAAAACCTAAACCGAAATAAACTTTACAAAAGCGGTCAGTGGCTAACTAGGTCTGCATAGTTTATACAAGTTTAAAATCTAACCTCTAAGATCCCCTGTCCCGTCTCCATCAGAATCCTGGAACGACCGAGGATAAATCTGGTACACGATGCTAGTCTGCCACCACTTTAGATCCGCCTTCTCGTACCTTTTCTCGCGCAAATTTTCGTCTGAGAATGTTATCACACAAATGATAGCGATCACAGCTGCCACAGTTACAAGAATAAGCAAGAGACACTTAGTGGTCTCGCAGAATTTTTTGTTGGACGACATTATAGCAGTAAATTGTCCAGTTGATTATTAATTTAGAACTTTTTTTAATTATATGCAAGGTGTGTTCCTATTAATGGTATCCTGGTCGAGCGGTCCTGATAACGTTGTGTACACTGTCCCGTGTATACGCTCCTAAGATACATTGGAATTTTACATACTATATATACATGTATGAGCAGGAACTACCAAATAAATAATAAAGGGAACTTATGTTAGCTAAAAAGTCTGTTTAGCACGAAGAAATTAATTTATATGCCAAGAATTAAGAAAACTTCAATTTAACCCAGCGTCATCAACATAAATCTGGTTCCGGGATATATTTTTGTTCATATACTCTTTTAATTAAAAAAAGTAAAAACAAATAACAACCTGAATATAAATGAATGAAAAAAAGTGTTGATCATTATCAAGATTGAAAAATAAACTTGTTATATAAATGAGCTAACATCTTTGAAAAGTTTTGGACATATGAATGTAGGTTCAGTACATCTTATATTGTGATTGAGTTTTAGCAAGGTTCTAGTTAAATTCTGAAAGAAGAGAGATTGAAGAGTTATCCTGATCAGGATATTCTGTAGGAGTTGACCTGGTTAGCTTCCCTCTTGCTGCTTTGCTGGACATGAAATATTCGAGATACTACGATACATCTGTTGATAATGATATCAAGATGATCTCGATTGGGTGTTTTATCCTTGTGGTCTGCTAGTATGAAATGTCCAAGATCAAGTTATCACAAAAATGTCATGAAAAACCTTGACAGACTGTCACCATTTTAAATCAAGGAAGTGGATGGATGATTGTCTGTGTTGTCTAAATGCTTGTTACGGAGCAGTTGCTGAAATATTTTAAATAAGCTAAATCCTTAAAGCAATATGAGCTTCATTTTTGAGAATTTTATTTTGCTGTTATAATGTGTTATTGTGATAAAATTGTATACAATTTAAACCTTTTTGATCAATTAGACAGAAATAAAGTATCAAATTGTTTCAGAATAAAGGATTCTGTACAATCAAATATATAGTGTTATATAAGAAATCAATATTGTACAGGACAACAATAATGTAATTTTGCTTTATTCAAATTAAAGCTTTTAAATATTTCTTCCAAGGGGGGGGGGGGGCTCCCCCAAAAAATCTGACAAGCAAAATAAAAAAAACTTTTCAAAAAAAGAAGGTAATTTCCCAATATAGTCTTACAAGCAATCCCCCCCCCCCCCAAAAAAAAAAGGGGACAGCATCTAAAGGTAAATTTACTATAGCGAAACTCGGAAAAAGTGGGGGGAGGGGGATCCCCCGCGTTCTACGGGCCTGATCTTGCTGTAATGACTATGTCTTCGCAATGAATTGTGGCCCAAGAAACCAACTGCATGTGGCCAGTTTTAGATATGCAGAGCTCAATATGTTTTAATATTGTGAGAATTTGCAAATGGAAGTGTCTGTTCGAGTGATATGGTGCATTATGGGAGGGGGGATAAAAGGTAAATTTCAATCTAAAAGGGATTAGAGACAGGCGCAAGACGATGACATCGATGACCGAATTTTGTGGTTCCATACAGTTCCAGTGTGCTGCGACAGTATCTTCAAGACCGACCACCAATCTCAGGACTTTTTTTTCCCTGGGCTATGATCTTGCGATCTTGACCAAACTCTGTAATAAAAGTGTGGCCCATCGTTTCAAGCCACGGTCCGGAGTCTGCATATAGCTCTGAATGGGAGAGGATCGTACATTTTGGCCGTGGTTTGCGACGATAAGTGTGACCATAGGTTTGACTTGTTAAAGCGGAAGAAAAAAAAAAAAAAAAAAAGCAATGCCCCGGGTGAGGATCGAACTCACGACCTTCAGATCGCTCAGTGATATATGTGATTATGAGACTGACGCGCTACCTACTGCGCTACCGAGGCCTATACATTCTTCGGTGTTGAAAAATTACCTATCATTGGACTTTAATTTCACTCGGAACATATCGTTTTTTTCTATAAGCATAAGTGAAAATTGCAAGCTATTTCATCATCCAGACAGCAGAATCTAAATTTAGATTAGGGACTTTTATATAAAGCTGTATAAAGTGCTTACATACAGTATTTATACAAAATGTACTGAGGAAGGAGAAGGCTAAAGTGCTTACATACAGTATTTATACAAAATGTACTGAGGAAGGAGAAGGCTAACATGATGTGAAACTCGTTTTCGTTCACGCACATAGTGCGTTCGTTTTCTTTAAAAAAATGTTTATTCAGAAGAAACTCGGACCGTCTTGTATTTATAGAAATCATGGGGACAACGCACAGGATAACAAAAGATTTCCATCGTTTGGCGAGGACTATAGAGAGCTTCTCAGGTAAGAATTTCTTCAAGTTTTGAGCATTTTCAATTTTGATGTCTGTGCTAACCAAGCACCTGACCACGTCACACGTGTCTAAGGAGCCCATTGTATGCAATGCGAGACAACTCTTGCTAAAAAAAAATGCTTTGAACTTTGTGAGCGGAAAAAAAAAAAGAAAGAACATTACATAGCTAAAATAAATTTATCATATTTAAAAGTTCAGAGGGAAAACAAATCCAGAATGAACCTGTAAGCTTATATAACAGTCGCCGTTTTCTAAAATGCAGTTATTTTTAAATATACTTGTCTTCATTATCTGAATATTATTTTGTGTTTATGCTTTAGTATAATCTCTTAATTAATAAATTATTTTATCTACACTCTATAGATGGTCAAGCCAAGGTTGTTCTGGGGAATGACGACGAGAACGATAGAGTTGAGACAATCTTTAGATTTGAGGTGGACATTATGCCCAACGGCGGTCCATATCAAGGAGGCACTTTCAGGTTTGAGGTACATCAGTAATAATAAAGAATCGCGCAGAACAAATACCAATTTAATTTTTAATTCTTTAATTTGAAAAGAATGTATTTTTTTTGTTGCATATTTTTTACAGAGATTTAGCATAAACTGTAATATCCATATTTTCATTGTTAGACATGTTATAACATCTTCTTACGAATGTTCATGTTCACTCATTTTTGTTTCAGTTTTGTGTAGAAAATGAATGTCAGTGGCCAAGGGAACCTCCCATCATACGATGCCTAACAGATATTTACCATCCTAACATTGACCACCTGGATAGAGATAACTGCTCCAATGTTTGTGTCAGTGTCCTAGACCGTGGCATGTGGTCTTACCAATTTGACTTTGAGACCTGTGTCCAGGCATTACTCTTTCTGTTCTACGAGCCAAATTTTGATGATGCCCTGAGCCCGATCTGTTGTTCTGATGAGGATTTTCAGGAACTGGTTCAAATTTCATTGAAAGGAGGAACAATAGATGGATTTCAGTTTAGTCCAAATATAGGAAGGATAAACAATGTCCTACAGGAAATAACATGACATTATACATGTTTTTATAAATTTGTTAACTCCTAAGAATAAATTTTAAAAATCTTAGCCAGTTTTTGTCTTATTTGTTGAGACCTTGAGAGCAGATATTTTTTGGAAGGCATCTCAACCATTCATTGATCTAAATTGGAACAATTAGTTCAAATGTTTGAAAAACAGGATTCAGTGTGCAGTGAACTGTTGTTGAATGCACATGTTTCAAAAGTTTAATATGTACCTTGGTTTCCATCTTTGGGGGGATGAGTTTTATTTTCTGAACGTTGCATTTGACATTGTAATAAATTGTTTGCATCTTATTTATTATGTTGATTGTCCCAAGAACAGGGCTACCCATACATTGTTAAAAAAAAAAAGTTACACAAAAATTGTTGGCAGCTTGTCCAGATGAATTTTTGATAGCATTAAGAGAAATATTGTTTTGACCTTTCAATAGACCCCACAAAGGGACTTAATTTACTTTTGCAAGGTGTGGATTGGACTGTTGCAATGTTTTGATTGAATTAAAAAGCAGACTGAACTAGATTTTAGTTTTTGATGACACATGTGTCTTTAAAGGGTTTTTATCACGTCTCAAAATTTTTGATATGACAAAGTTTACATGTTATTAAAATCATATATTTAAAAATCTTTGCTAAAAAGTTAATATTGTTGATGTTTCAGCGAATCAAAGTTTAACAACATAAACTCTTTCACATTCAGTTGAAAAGTTTATAGTTTGTGTATCAGTCATATCGTGATAAAAAATTGATATTGACAGGTCATCAAGGCCAATGTTTTTTACGAAATTTTATGGGGTAGACAGCTGGTTAACTTTACTTTTTTTGGGTATAATCCATCTGGTCCATAAAATTCCTCGCTGCATAAACTGCGCAAAAAATGTGTGCTAGTCACCATTAGGTCACTGCGCCCCAAAACACGCCTGCTAATCGATCAGTTGCATAACCAGCAGTTATGTATAATAATCGAAAGAATCGATTTCCGGTTATGCATTTGATATGAATAATTTCAATACACAGATGGTAAGTTGACCCGATGCGGCCATTAATTGAAATTTTAATTAAAATATAAGAATGTGATTCCATGAGCAATTTATTTTTCTTTTATTTTACACCCTTATAAAATGCAAGAATTGTCGATTAGCGACGATATTTGTTTTGAAGCAAGGGCTGGTAGAGCGAAAACGTTGATTGAAAACAGAATTGCCGACTGGAATTCGTGATAATCTCAACTAACTTTAAATATCCAATGTTCACCATTAGTTTGCATCAATTACATCTTATCCATCCAAATTTGGACCTTGATATGTGTATTATTTGGCAAATATTCGAGGTAAATAACGTTGCCTATGCATGCGATACTTGAGTTGTGAAAGAGATTTCGGGTTATGCATGAGAAAAAGGACAAAAAAAATTTAAAAGTTTTTATACGATCTCCATAATTCACTTCTTAGACTTTTTACTCTTGTTAATGATTATCAAATTTTAAATATTGGCTGTAACATGAAGACGTTGCATCATATTTGCAAGCACATTTTGATTTTTTTATGCCAGAGAAGGAAAACAGAATACTGCATTGTTTTATATTCAATACTTTTTAAATACTAGTACGTTTAATCATTTATGAAATTATCAAACGTTATTTAAAGTATATTTATTTTGTGGTTTTTTTTTTTAAATACTTACGCTAGTAAAGATTATTTCTTTTTAACAAATATTAAAGTATATCCGTTTTTTCGTGTGTCACAAACTTTTTATATGCATGCTTTAGACAATTCCTGCGACTTTGAAAAAAAATCTTAGTACATTTAGTGGATGTATATTTTTGCATGTTTTATTTTTTGCGATCTCAAACTGATCGCAAAAATATTCCAAAAAAAAAAAAAAATATTGGATATACGGTAAATTAAATGTTGTTGATACCCCCCCCCCCCCCCCAACGGAAATAACTCTTACTATCTCTTTATACATTCACTTATGATGTATGAATTGAGGCTTGAGAATTATAAAACTCAAAGAGATATTGGTAAAATATTCTTTCCTACAATTTCACTGACTCTGATTGCAATTAATTTATTCTTTTACGCTTCTTCATAATTTGAACTTCTTATTATACACTATAGCAACATGCATCTATAACCGATTTTATGGTGTGCAAACCATTTTCTTTCTCTTGCTTCTTTTCGTGAAATGGACGATCTTCAAATCCTAATGGATTGACATCACCACCACGCTTTACCTTTTTACCATCAAACATGAGAATATAAGATGAGGCGTTGTTATCTTGTGCCTTTTCCAGCTCGATAACAGAATTCAATATATCCGGCTTCAGAACATAAGGAAATGCTTCACCCATGGGATTTATTCAATAAAGAATATTTGTTTTACACTGTTGTGGATGTAGCATATTTTGCCCAAACAAAACGTCTGTTCCATTTTTTAGACAAAACATAAATCTAATGAATTTTTCACCAAATAAATTCTAACCTATACCCAGAACGCAAGGAAGGGGGGGGGGCACTTTTTTTCTGAGGATAGAAATTTGCTTTAGTAAATTTTACTTTAAATGCGCTGCCTCCCTTTTTTGATGTGAGGTCGAGCACTGGCAAATTCCAGAATTTGGACGGTAAATTGTTTTCTTTTCTTTCTTTTTTTTTTTGCTTGTCAGAAAATTTTGGGAAGTAGGCCCCCACTTTTGGTCAGTTTAGGGTTTTTTTTTTCTTTTTCTTTTGCTTGTCAGATTTTTTGGGGTAAGTTGACCCCCCCCCCCCCCCCCCCACACACACACACTTTTGAAACCATTGCTACGGGCCTGTTAACAATGCCTTGGGTTTTAAAACTGAAAAAATATACACACACAATAATGTGATGTAAATAGTTCTATGTGTGAAGAAATAGAGACTTAATGTTAGTGCAATTATTTTTAAAATAGTTTGTACTGATTGTAACTGCCCCCCCCCCCCCCCAACAGATTTACTTCAACAATTAACAAATCTTTTTTTTTTTAAAAAAATCATCTTGTTTGCAGGAAAATCCTTTACTTTTATTTTTAAAATTTTGGAAGACTAGGTTAAAATTACATCATGTTTAATTTTAATTATAAAGTTTGAAACTGTTTGTCCTTTATCTCATGCATAACCCGAAATTGCTTTCACAACTCAAGTATCGCATGCATAGGCAACGTTATTTACCTCGAATATTTGCCAAATAATGCACATATCAAAGTCCAAATTAGGATGGATAAGATGTAATTGATGCAAACTAATGGTGAACATTGGATATTTAAAGTTAGTTGAGATAATCACGAATTCCAGTCGGCAATTCTGTTTTCAATCAGCGTTTTCGCTCTAACAGCCCTTGCTTCAAAACAAATATCGTCGCTAATAGACAATTCTTGCATTTTATAAGGGTGTAAAATAAAAGAAAAATAAATTGCTCATGGAATCACATTCTAATATTTTAATTAAAATTTCATTATTGCCTGCATCGGGTCAACTTACCATCTGTGTATTGAAATTATTCGTATCAAATGCATAACCGGAAATCGATCTCTTTCGATTATTATACATAACTGCTGGTTATGCAACTGATCGATTAGCAGGCGTGCAAAACCAGAACAGAACAGAACAGAACATTTATTTTCTAATTTAGAGCCCATAACAGACAAGTATGAAATTATTACAATAATAAAGAAAAGATATGCCAATGGATAGTATAACAACTTGTAAATGACATTACTCATTTCAACAATAATATTGTACTATTTCAGTTAAAGGGAATACTATATATAAAACTGTATGACTACTACAACATGTTATCATTTATGAATTTGCCCACAGAATTAAGAGTTTCTTTGTCTTCAGTATTGAGTAACCAAAAAAGTTTTTGTTCATCATCTAATGCCGAGAAATTGGGAAATTTACTTTTAATTGATTTAAAAATTTCTTTTCTTTGATGATCATATTTTTTACATGTTATGAGAAAATGAGTTTCATCATCTACACTGTTAGAGTTACATCTATTGCATAATCGATCTTCACGAGGGATGTTGGTAAATCTTCCCACTTCAATTTGCAATCTGTGACAAGAAATTCTTAATTTACATAGAGATTTTCTGTGATGAAAATTTTTAACTACTGATAAATAATTCTCATAACCCCAATTTTGTTTGAGTTTTACATATGTGCTTAATTTACCATCAGTATAACTTTGTTGACTTGTATACCAATTTTTTATATAATAATCTAATATGGTTTTATGACAGAGTGACTTAAATTTATGCTTCCCATAACAAATTACTTCATCTTTGATATTCAGTATATTTCTTAATTTCTGTACAAATGCGAACCATGAGTTCTTTCCATGTACATAAAGATTTTTACTACATTCATATGCATCTTTAAGTAAAGGAAATTCTGTGGACAAATTTTCAAATCTATACCAACTTTTGATTAACAATTTGACAATATCATAATGCAGGGGGAACCTTCCCAATTCAGACAATACTGCAAAATTTGTACTTTTCTTATGAACACCAAGAATATATTTACAGAATTTAAGGTGTATTCTTTCACAAAGTAGATTTCTGAAACAGTCTTCAACTTCTAACTTTTGGCATTTTAGGAATCTTTTAGTATTGATATTACTTGCACCCCACACCTCTGCATTATACAAAAGAATTGGTTTAATAGTAGAGTCAAATACATGTATACTCGTTTTAATCCCAGGATTCAAATTTATAAAATCATTTCTCAGTTTATAATATGCTTTTAACGCCTTTTTATAAAGCTCTGATCTTGCTACATGAAAACTTCCAGATGCAGTTAGGTGAACTCCAAGATATTTGTACCTAGATACACAGTCTATCCTATTATTTTGAAACATTAGTTTTTGCGTGAAATTACGACCAGCTTTATTAAAGATCATGACTTTAGTTTTTTGAATGTTTACCTTTAAACACCAATCAGAGCAATACTTTTCAAGTTTAGAAAGTCTTGCTTGTATACCTTGAGCTGATGCTGATAAAATAACAATGTCATCTGCATACATTAA